CAATAACATATCCATGGGATGAGCTTCCAGTTGATTTTTGCTGGAATTTTGTAATTTTTTTTTTTTTTGCTATATTTTCTTTTTCTTTTTGGGAGGGTATTCCTTTTATGTTCTGTCTGATAGTGGGAGCGCCGAAGCCACTTCCGTTAGCAGATCCGGGCAGACGTCCTCCTCCTCCTCCTCTTCCCCGTCTTCGTCCTCTTCTTTATCCTTACCTTCTCGGCTCCAGCCGCGTGCGGTAACTCTATCGCACGGAGAGATACGTACCTATGTAAGCAGCCAACGCAGATTAGCCATCACCCAGCAAATTGTCCGCATCGAATGCTAGTAAAGCGAAGATAGATTCCCCGCGAGTTAGAAGCAAGCTCCAGCTGCTGCAGGTCTACGCGGGATAAAGCTGGAAGGAAGCAATGGTACAGCATGAAGGGACGGGAGCAGAGGTAAGCAAGCCTCCTAGTCAGTCGCATTGGCTGAAACAAACAAAAAAAAAAAGAAAAGCTGCGGTGTTCACACAGATGGTGGGATTGAGTAAGACGCCTGCAGGAGTGAGTCTCTTCTCTCGCATGCTTCTCCATATGGTCATACGATACCCGCGTGTCAGATGTCTCCAGACAAACACATACATCTCGAACAGGCCTCCTCCTCCTCCAAGAGGTGGACCACAAGTTGAATCGTTTTGGGTGGCCCCAGTCACGTTCTATCGACAACAACAACAACAACAACAACAACAACAACAACAACCTCAAATACTATAACAACTACAACAACAGCGAGGAGATAAGCAGGCTATGCAAACCAACTGGATCCTTTTCAAAGAGTCTGGTAGCATACCGGCTGCATTTCAGCCTCAAGAAAAAAAAAGAAAAGAAAAGAAAAAAACCGCGAGCAGGACCCTCGAGGAATCAGTAACACGGGACTCGTCCACGCTCAACCCGACGAATCAATCGTGTTGCAAGTACCGATCCCGAGGAAGGACCGCAACGGCCTATCGACGGCTTTAGTTTTAATAAAGCGTTAAGTATACGATATGCGACTTTAAATCTTCCTCCCGGATGGCGACGCTGCTTGCACCCTTTTTTGAGAACTGACGTGTTTTTCTTCCAGACCAGACCAGACCAGACAGATATAACCTACCTACCCTACGCACGCTGATCGAGACGTGCCTGAGGTGGTACAACGCGGTGGATTGAGCGCCCCGAGGCCGAGGGGAACGTCCTACTGGAACAAGCAGGCTCGCCATCTCTGTCTGGGTCGAAATACTGCCATGTTGGTCGGGCAGCCGATTGGGCTTCAAGTACACCTAACTAACATAACTAACATAACTAACATAACTAACACAACCAACTAACTACCGAAAAGAAAGCATCAACGCGGCTGCTTCTAAACCCATCCGAACAAACCTTGCCCCCTCCCTTTCCAATCGAAATCCAGCCCGAGCTTACGAGAAGGAAAGGGGTCAACGATCTCGCCATCGCCCAGTTAGTTAGTTACCTTAGCTGACCATGCAGATGCATGCTAACTTAACCAAGTAGAGGCGGGTTGGCTGCAAAAACCCGGACAGCCAAAACTCGAGGCTTCCCGTCCCCCGCGCGTCCCCCCCCCCCGCCACCTTTCGAAGCAGATTGAAGAAAGAACGAAAGGATGGAGAAGAGTGCAGGCTTTTCGTCCAGCTGCCAACGGAACTCCGCGATGGGGCATTTTCGGAGCATTTTCATTCAAAAGGCAAGAGTTCGTCCCGTCCCGTTCCGTTTACGCTTTCGACCCGTGCGTTCCATGCACGCCTGCCGAGGAAGATGAGGTCGGCCTGCCCTCCTCCACCCGTACGTAGCACTCGGTATCTGCAGCGAGTCCAGAGCGGTTGCATTTGACAGAGACGGCCCGCAGGCTTTACTATCTTCACTATTCCTACGACACCCTCCACTTCGGCAATATATATGAGCGAAATGACTGACTTCCAAGCAATCGATCAATGCTGAGTGAGTGAGCACCATGTAACTCTGAGCGACTTCAGCTCTATCTTTGGTACCTCGGTCTATTAAACAAGCAGATTCAAGCTTGACGGCTTTAATTAATAACCTCCCCGAAGTTAGGATTAATAAACACCGGCTAATGTTGATTTTTGTCGGAGTGTTGACCCTTAGTTTTGATGCGAAAAGTGGTTTTATGCATTACCAGTCACCTAATTAGTACTGTAGCTCTTCCAGTTGCTCCATGCCCCTGCCCACACACGTCAAACCACCCACTCTACAAGACCTCCAGCCCATCACCGTCATCTCTCTGCAGCTCATAGCTGAGCACCGAGTGATCCATATAGTGCAGTATCAACCGCCCTACGCGTAAGAATCAGCATGTGTCACCAAGGCCAGCTATACAAAATATCTATTTCCTTTCCCCAAACACTTACAGATTTTCCTCTGTGCCTCCCCGTTTGCACCCCTCCCCTGTAGCGGCGCCACCGCAATACCCAGCAGCTGTTTGAAAGGCCGGAATTCTCTCTCGTGGATAGAGAGCGGCAGGATACGGTCCAGACGAAACGTCAATACCGACGATATCTTCTGGCAGAAAGACTCCTCCAGTCTCGTCAATGTGAACAACCCCACCCGGCCTTTCTGCGAAGCCACAACCAAGAGCGAGAGTTCCGGGATGACAGAGAACATGTTAAGCCGATCGTAGGGATCCAGGAGACGCTCGGTTAATCTATTCCCGAATCGTTGCCGGGCGAAGCTTCTGCAGATGGTGCTTAGCATGTCCGGGTCCGGCGGCAGGAGCTCAACATCGTAGTTGTTCATCCGCACGATGGCCGTTCTGCTGTCCTGGGCTCGCATCACTTTTCTGCTCTGGTTTACGAGAGGTAAAATGCTCGGAAGAGGCCCAGGAATTGTGTGCCTCAGAGATGCGTCCAGTATTTCATTCCCTAGTAATGACAGTATATTAGCAATTTGAAGTGGAAACCGCATGATATGTCTTGACCATGGAAAGCAACACTTACAGGTTTGAAACCGATATCTGACCTCGGTTGGTAACATAAGGAGATATTGCAAAGCCTTCGCCTCCCCTCGAGCACCGTTCCATTGCAAATTAACCAGAAGGTCAGTCTCAGTGACCCAATTCTGGACTCCAACGTCATAAGACCAGTTATCTGACTCCAGGATGCGAACCATGCTTTTCACCCAATTATTTTCAGTCAAAAACGGTAATCTTGGTTTCCGGAGCATGTGCTTGTTACTCCTATAATCTTTCAAGAGCCGAAGAACATGGTCCCTCTTTTTGTCAAGTATGATCTTGTTCGCTTCAGATAATTGGTTATCTTCTGCATCACTATTCTCGAGTTCGAGTGTAGAACTTAGGTTTCCATACGAGAATGGAGATGGTTCAGGTGGTGGATGTATGAGAGAGACGTCTCTGACATCATTGACGCTAGACTTTGATCGGTCAGCACTGACTTTTCGTACCGATTGAATGCTACCAGAAGCTGCTAGGGGGACGGGAGAGAGAAGTGGGCCATTTCCCAATAACGTACGGTGATTTCCAAGCACTGCGAAATGTTTTTACTCTTGAAAAAGGCTGACGGGATGCTGAGGGCGCTTTCTATCTTCTGACCAAGAGCCTCCTGGGGTCTTGGAAAATTCAATCAGTATCTCAAAGTATGTCCCCACTCGGCTGGTAGTAGGCCTTTACTTACGTCCCCACTAACTTAAAAGCATCCACGGGTATTGCGATGACCCCCCAGCCCCTGACATCCATCTCATCGTCATCAGAGTCTTCCCGATCCTCTCGGGACTCGTGGATAGGTGGCGATTCAAGGGCACCGCTATTAGACAGGTCCAAAGACCACATCCTTCCGGTAATATCTACCGCCAACACCGCGTAGGCTTCACCCTTCTCGTCGTCAAGAAAATCAATTGAAGGGACATTATGACCTCGAATTCCCAGTGCTAGTGTGACTTTACAATTCAAACGTTCTATGCCATGTCAGCATTGATCAAAAGTCTCCTCTAGCCCGCTTCAAGTCACATGCAGGTTTGAGGAAATAGTAACTTACCCAAAGGATGCGCTTTCCCGTCATATCCAGGCGTGAACACAACGGAAGACACCTGTAGGTAGTTGTTTGAACTAATAGGAACCATGAAAAGAGATTCGTCATGGTCATTGAAATATCGTTGTCCGTCTCCAGCATATCGTGCACTGATACCTGGCTCTGTATAACGAGTTAGGAATACGGGAGGGTATGAATTTGGGCAAAGTAAGGAAGGTACTCAAGTCTCGAGAGAAAGAAGTAGATTCACCCAATGAAGTTACAACGGTCCCAAGATGAAAGGCTTGACCTACTGAAGACTACCACCTCCCTAAAATTGGTGCCCGCAGCAATAAGCCGGGAAGTTTGGTGGATAGCCAACCCCCAGGCGCTTATACCCACGTTCTCATGGAAGAACCTACCCGGAAATCAGATTTGTGAAGGAAAGTTCTCGTCCACTGCTGGAGACTTACGGTTTGACTTCACTAAAGTGAGCCAGCTTGGACGTCGATTCGGCGGCCGTCCGGGCTTCCCTTTCAATCTGATGAGTGTAGTATGCGATAACATCCCCATCATCGCAGCCCATCAGCAGGATCTCAAGGTCGCCCAGGAGCCCGACCTTCATGTTATTCACATCGTGCTACCTGATGCATTAGCATATCGCACGTATTTGAATGAGAACGCGGTAGACCGCAGAGATAACCCAAAAGCTCACCGGGTGTATTCTGTCCAGAATGCCAGGAACATCAAAGGCCTTTTCGCTTCTTGGCAGATCCAATATCACGTCGGGGGTAGTGGGTAGCGTCTGGCGAAGGTCGCGGGGTATCGTAACATGGATCTCGTCGCCGTACGCCACAAAGTAGAGCTGTAGTTGATCCAGTCAGCTGGACGTACATATGTCCCCACAGATTCTAGAGTAACCAAAACGCCCGTCCGCATCCATATCCCAGCGGCAGCAGGCACTGCCACGCAGAGAATCACCGTCGGACGCGACATGGAGAATGTACTGACGTTGAATCTCTGAGAAAGCGCAACCAGGTTGGAGCGCCCTGAGCATGTCCAGCGAGAATCAGCAGCTGCCACTTCATTTTACAACAGCGCCAGGAGTTGAGCAGCAGCAAAGGCCGTAGAGATTCTGGCGCAGCGGACAGAAGAGAGGCCGCCTGGCTGTGTGATACGTACATGCCGCAGTCCTCGGTGGGGGCATCGTCGCCTCGTTTCGTCTCGGGAACTGTATGGTAGCAAATATGGGTAAGCAATAATCCCATCATTCCACTCCATCCCGGCCCAACCCGCATCCCCCCCCAAAAGAGGAGAGGGGAAAAAAAAGCAACGATCAAAAAAGCAAAAAAAAAGAAAAATTACTACCCACCCGCTCTCCCCCCTTCTGCCCATGAAAGTTCCCTACAAGGACCTCTTCGAAGATCCTCTGGCCCGCCATCTCGCAGACGGTTCGCGATGGCTGGCTGGCGTTCTCGACATTGACGGGGGTTGTTTATAAAGATGTGCTTGCTGTGTGGTATAGCATATTTTCTTATGTTCCGAGCTTCTGTCCTAGCTCCACGGTCCAAAGTGTTGAATGGTTAGGTTGATGGGCTACCTGATAAGCGTGAGGCTGCGGGGAAGGCTGCAAGCGGGGCCGCCGGTCCTTATCGATAAGGTCGGGTGCTTCTCCGTGCTACCTACGGAACTTTTCTGAAAGTTTCGAAGAAGCGGTAACATCCGCCCCCCACTTACGCCCCACACCATGGGCTGGGAAGGTATTCTTACAGAATCATAAATTGGTCAATTGCCTTTCTCACCAATTCAATACATCAGAAATCAAAGCGAACAACTAAAAGGTCATTGCATAATCGCACTACTTATAAAAATCGTACTTTTAAGTCATCTCAAGAAGCGACGCGATTCCGGCATCTCTCTCTCTTGGTACGGCAAAAAACCCACTTCCATTTTACAGATATCTCAATCAGAAGGTGTTGGATCTTATATCGGTAGGCTTACGTAAGCGGAGAGAAGAGAGGATAGCCGTAAAAGATTCTGGATAGACAAGCAGGTGGAATTACAAATAGGTAACGCCGCAGAGTTTTGTTTAGAGTATAAGATGGTAGGTGGTGTATATCTCTGTAAACACTCCGTAAGAAGCAGCAAAACAAATACAACTATAGGCACCATGGCAAACCCATGCCAAACGGGGATATCGCTAAGCCTAACTCCGAAAAAGAAAATCCGAAAAATCTACACATCCCAATTATATCCAGGCTTCGGCGGCCAGTGATTAACGCTCGCACAAAATACGAAAGAAATCGATAGGGACATCTTCAGTGCGGCCTGTTCCCAGTAACGGAGGCCCCTTGCTCCTTCTTCTCCTTCAGGTGGTTCTCGGCAGCGACACCGTGCCTGTCGCCCTGGATGCCAGTGTGCTCATGTCCGCTCGATCTATCGTCAGGCGAGTGGCCGGTGATCATCTCGCTGTGCTGAGGAATGCCGTGGCGATCCTGGGGGTTGACGCGGCTCTCGGTCTGCTCCGGCTCGTCGGTCGCGGGCGTCCAGGCGAGGTAATCTCTACGGACCTCGACGTAGTCGTAAGCGAACTCGCCAAGCTGGTCGTCATCCATACCCAGCAGCTCGGCCTCTTCCGAGGCACGCAGGTGCAGACCCGGGATGGCATTGATGCCGAAGGCCAGAATCGCCGAGACGACGAACGAGTAGGCCGTGACGGCTACGATGTAGGCAACCTGGATGTACATTTGCTTGTAGTTGTGGTTGGGCCAGCCTCCGTTAATGATCCCGGTATTGACACCATCGAGACCGATGATGTAGTCAGCGCCGAAGAAAGCGTTGAAAACAAGTCCGACCATGCCCGCGACGCCGTGCTCGGCGAACACATCGAGACTGTCATCGATCTGGATCCAGAACTTGACTGCGAGCTGTTAGCTACTCTGTACAAGCGGTTAAGCAAAGCCTGAGGCAACTTACTCTTGGTTGCAAAATTGCAAATGACACCAGCGGTGACACCAAGAATGACAGACGCCCAAGGAGGGATAAATCCACTTGCCGGGGTAGCAGCAACGAGGCCCGAGATGCATCCGGAACACCAACCGACCATGGACCACTTCCTCGCCAAGCGGTAATCGAGAAGACACCAGGCAATAGAGCCAAACATAGCGGTCAAGCAGGAGTTCCAGCAAGCCATCACTGCACGGAGGTTTGCACCAAAGGCAGAACCACCGTTGAAGCCGAGCCATCCGAACCACAGCAGAATGGTGCCGAGGGTGATCAAAGAGATGTTATGAGGGCGGAAGTTCAACATCATCTTCTCTTGGCGTTTGCCCAGCACCATCGAATACGCCAGAGCGGACATACCCGAAACAATCTCGACAGGTCCACCTCCCGCATAGTCGAGAACACCATATGAATATGCCCATCCGTTGATGTTCCAGACCCAGCAAGCCACTGGGCAGTATACGAGGGTAGCCCATACGAAGATGAAGACCATGGCCGGGACGAGACGACCGCGTTCGGCAACGGCACCCATGACAATTGCGGCTGTCACTCCGCAGAATTGAAGCTGTAGAAGAATTAGAGAAAAAATTCGGGCTCAGAAGCGGAAGGGCAGGAGCAATCCGCATACCTGATAGAACGAGTAGAGAAGCTCGGGAATAAGTGGCGATCCGGGCGAGGGCGTCCCAAGGGTATGCATCAAGCCAAAATGGCCCAAGTTACCGATGTATCCATTTGTTGCAGACGAGCTGAAGGCCAGAGAATATCCCCAGAAGTACCATTGGAAGGTAATGACGGAAAACGAAGCCATGCAGGCCCAGATCATGGACAGAGCAGACTTTCTTCGCGCGAGTCCGGAATAGAGGAAGCCCAGACCCGGTACCATCACCAAGACCATAGCCGAACAGACGAGAATATAGGCCTGGTCCCCAGCAGCAAACCACTGGTTTAGGTTTTCAACGGCTGTAGATCGAGCAGTTAGTTAGCATTTCGACCTTTGTTTCTTTTGCGGATTGTTCAATCAGAACCGACTTCCGTACGTAGCGCACATATATAGTCGAGGAGGACCATTCAAGGGATTCCTACCAGAATCTCCTCCATCGTACCCCGTTCCATTGTACGGCGCCGGAGCGCCAATCCAGGCATAGTTGGGCGCAAATCCGGACATCTTGAGCGAGGCGTTGCTGCTCGATGAGCTGCGTCGTTACCAGAGCCGAGGATGTATATGTATGTATATGTATGTGTATGTTTGTATATATATACCTATTTTGTCGAGATTGGCGATGTGTAGCCGGCTCTAGAGCGACGGTTTTGTTTCTGATATCACACGAGGAGATGTTATGTCCCAAACCAGAGCGCAATGGACCCTGGGTTTGCGCCAGGATGGAGGGCGAGGGCGAGCGCGGCTGGATGTATAAAGGTCTCGTCGCCAAGAGCCACTATCAGCAGGACCGCATCTCGGGAGAGATAGGGGCGTAGACAGGTATCCGTGACTGGAATGGTGGGCGGGTTTGAGAGGAGCTGGCTGGGTAGCTAATCCAGTCCAGTACCGTAAGCCATTCTGTATCCGTAGAACCGCCAGTCCGTGCCGGGCCAGTGCCAATGCATCTATCAAAGACAGAGAAGGATGGATAAGCGTAGGCAAGCATGAGGCCAAGCAAGAGGATGTGGGCAAACAAGACTTTGTCTGTGCACAATGTCGAGTCCTCTCCTCGGTGCCCCTGTGCTTTTGCGCCTTTGTGTCTTTGTGCCCTTGAGCTCTTGTCTCTCTCCCCCGGCCTTTTGCTTTGTTTTGGTTTCCAGAAAGACAAGGGCCACGTTCTGACATGGCAAAAGATACCAAGATAACCACCGAAAGCCCGATGAAGTAACCAGTCCCTGACAGCCACGCTCCTCGAATGTGGGGTGTGCACTGTGATGACATGTATACCGGTATACATGTATACCGCTACACATATATAGGTATATATGTACATATATATACAGATATATACAGATATATACATATATATACATATATATACAGATACAGATACAACACGTACATCGAGACACCCAGGATCTTCGATGCCCTATGATTGTCCAGGTCAAATAGATCTAAGCTTACCTAGGTATTCAAAGCGACGATTGGATAGTCACATCGGCTATCAATGCCAGGCCACATGGGTCTTGCTTAGCCGCCGCTCCCAAACGAACAACTGCATCTGCAACCGCAAGAAGAAGAAAAAAGCAAAGAAAAGAAGAGGAAGAGGAAAAAAGAGAGAAGAAAGAAGAAGGAAGAAAGAAAGAAGAAAGAAAGAAAAAATATAGAACTTCGCAACACAATTTGTCGCGTCTATCCTCTCCTCTCCTCTTTACCCAGCCCACCACCCGCATGTGTCTGAAAGTGCATTTTACTCTCATCTCCAATTATCCAATCTACCAGAGCTGGCCATGACGTCGTGACACGTCCTTCTTTCGCCAACTGCCAACCACCAAAAACTCCAGAGTTCCAAAAATCCAAAAAATCCAATCAGCCTTCCCTGCCCCAGGGAAATCCCGACTACTCGGTAAACCTACCTCCTACCTAGTACCTCGATCCCAGATCCCGCTCTCCGTCCGAAGAAGCCGAGGCAGAAAAAGACCAATCTACGGTACCTATCCATCCCACCGTCTAGCCGACCGGTCGATCCATCCCGCCCCCTCTATTCCCTAGTCCGTATTCCCCCTTCTCGTCGCTCCTTCAAAAGTGCAAAGAAAGTACTCCTGGCTCACACCTACGGTACCTACTTACCTACCTACCTACCTACCTCAACCTCACCTATCTCCGTATTCACAGCGCTTACTCCTGCCTCTATCCGATCCGATCCGATACACCTATCCCATCTTACTCGTATCTCCCTAGTAGCGAGGTGATCGGCGCGCATCGTGCCGTGCTAAGATACGGCTAGCTGGCTGGCTGGCTAGCTAGTATCAAAGGGACTAGGTAGGTAAGGTAATCGTCAGCCACCTTTTGAAATCAATTCTGTAAATATACATATATATATATACATGTATTCCAAACCTGGCTGCACCACCGACCGACCCGGGACACCTACATTTTACTCTCAAGTAATAAAAATCGATATCAAATCAACCAACCCACCGATGATACCGTACTTATTCGGATATCAAACATATTGCACCGTAGGTATCGGTCTCAATAACACTCAATCAACACAATTCTACTTACGGAGGTACAGCGGTCCAGGTAAGAAGTGTAAGTGTAAGTGTCGCAACCCTCGCCGACCCCACCGCTACTACGTATCTCTAACCAACCCACTTAGGCAACAACGTGTGATCGCTTCGTAGGCACGAACTTTTGAAGAACCTTTAACCTTCACAGAACCCAATTAATGAGGTTCAGAAAAAGTAAGTGGCTGTGGGTCGACGCGGGTTACGACGCTTAACCGCTGTACCACTTGTAGAAGTACACCTTATATATATCCCCTTGTTCTATTCCTGTGCTGTATCAAAGTGCGTAGCTAGGTACCTACCTACCTAGTACTTAAAAATGGTATAGTACTTCTTGGTACACCTTTTTTTTTTTTTGGATGTTACAGGTCCGTGCCCAAGCTGCTTTACTCTGCATACTCTCTCTCTCTCTCTCTCTCTCTCTCTATATCAAAACTGCAGTGTTAAATCACAAGAATGATACCCAAGCGAGGAATCCGAAAAAAAAAATCAGACTCCTCTTGAAATACTCCATCATAAAATAGGTACGCGTTCTACACCGTCAACTTCTGCGTAGTATTAGAAAATTATTTCCTCTGGTACTATTATAGATGAAACCATCTCTTGTCGATTTATAGGCCCTCCTTTTTTGCCTTTTTTTTTTCTTTAAAAAAAAAAGGTTGTGCCGATCAAGATATTCAAGGCGGACGAGTGCTACTTAATTCTTGAGGAACAGTTTTGAGCCATATTTTCACTTTGTTATAGTTAGTGTTTATGACTTGCAATAAATAGATACTTCTTTCTTTATAGCTATGATACACGTCTGTATAGCAAGGTTTTCTAAACATGTAAACTTTTTTTCGTGTCTACCGGTATATCAATAGTTGTAATTTAATAAGAGTTTTGATGAAAGTGTCCCGGGTTGGTGGTGCCGACTTGCTGCGGCAAGTCGGCCAATTTTTTCGAGTTGAATTCAAGGTAACCGACGATGAGAAGCACAACGAGATTAGGATTATTTGTATTTTTGAATTTCATTGTTTGCTTTCATTAATTACATTCAGGAAATTAGATGTGAAAGAGAAGAGAAACAGACCCTCTCCAAAGGCTACATCAACTCCTACAAATAAATCATCGGCACCACATGGTCGTTTTGTCTCTATCGAAAAATCGAAAAATCAAAAAGAGCGCCATCCTGTTTTATGCAAATCGCTAACTCCCCGCCCAAACGAAAAACAAAAAAACAAAAACAAAACAAAAAAAAAAAGGATATCATCCGCCATCAACTATCTAATCGTAACTTAAAACCCGCTGCCGCCCATGGTACTCGGGGCTATCGTGCTTGGGGCCATCGAGACCCGGGAATTGTTGCCCACGTCCATCCTGACCGACTTCCCCTTGGGCTTTGCAACCAGCACCTGGGCCGGGCAAACCACAATCTCCTCGTCGCCCTCCCCCGTGTCATCGCCCTTCTTGACGACCAACGGGAAGAGCACGATCCTTACTACGGCCTTTTGAGCTTCCAGCTCCTCGTTCGAGACAGTGTCCCCGCTGCGTTCGTTCATCAACGCGGCGTTGAAGGATACTTTGCTCGCGAGGTCCCCATTCGCATCGTACTCTGGCTGCAACGGTGGGAGCATCATGTACTCCGCACGCTGGCAGCGCATCTCGACCGAGAGGTCTACGGCCGCCTTCATGACTCTCGTCAACTGACCCTGGATCTGTGCTTCAAGGTGGCTAGGAGGCGGGAGAATCTCAGACAGTGTCTCCATAATTGCGTGCACGACAGCCTGGGTATCTTGCTCTCGCTGTTGGCGGAAGGCTTCGCGCTTGGCCAGCAGAGTGAGTGTTACTGCACGCCATTGATGGACTGCCGACGCAGGTCCAACCTCGGAGAGCGTCTTCTCCAGTGATTTGAGCTTCTGTCTCTGCTCTCTATCCATACCGAACAGGTATCGTGTGAAAATAAACTCCCACACCATCGTCATCGTCATGGACATGAAGACATCCCGACGCTTGACTCTATCTCCTAGATATCCATCGACATCCGAGCCGTCCAGTATGGCATTGTCGAGTCGATCAATTATCTTGTCGTTGTTGATCTCGCTCGTAAGTCTGCAAGCTCGCATGTCGGAAAACTTGGAGAATCGAAGCACCCATTGTTGCACATGCTGGCACAATTTCTGACAGGCATTGTCGAAGTAGTCCTCGTCTCTGATGGTGAGGAATTCCACTTCGCTGGCCTTCGACGCCAAAATTTGTCTCTGCATCTCCCGTATTTTCTCCTTCGCTGCTTCCAACTCCGCACGCAGCCGAGCAATCTCACGATCCTTCTCCATCACTGCAGTTTGTACCTCGTTCCTCACCGTAGCCTCCATACCTGCTGACAGGTTGCTGTGGGCATCGCGCATTTCCTGCAGCTCCCGCGAAGTCTGTGTATGCCGCGATTCGAGAATGGCATATTTATCCCCATGCTGGCGGGCAATTGTATGATTCGCACTTGTCAGACCCGCATTGACTTCAGTCAGTCTGCCAACTTCATTTTGTAGCCATTCGAGCGTTCGTTTGAGGCTGTCGATTTCTTCGTCTTTTTCGAGCAAGGCAGAGGGAGCGTTTTGACTCGAGTGCAACGCGCGTTCGGCTTGAGCCTTCTGTTCGGCTAGCATTCGATTGTCGGCAATCATTTGTTCCAGCTTCTGCTCGAGGTCCAGTATTTGCATACTTTGTCGTCGGCGCATGCTGTGGGGTCGAGTCGGAGATCGCGGTGAGCCCATGCGGCCTTCACCCAGGCCATCCTGTTGTCCATTATGTCAGTAATGGTCCATTGTCTTTCGCTGTATATTTTCCACTTACATAGACATCTGCCATATCTTTTGCCCGCGCTCGGCCCTCGTTTGCCGTTGGAGTTGCTGTGTTGATCGCTGGAGATGGCGTAGTCAAAGTTGCAAGCTCGGCCTCCTTGGCGAGATCCGGCTTGCTCCGTTGGCTCAGAGACCTCAGGTCTCCACTTTTCCGATCGCTGCGACGCAAAGGTGGGGTTCCTGATCGGTTGCTGGTGGCACTGTCGGGTCGCTTGAAGTCCGGAGTTCGCAGTCGATTGGTACCAGATATCGTTGATCGCTGGCTTTGAGCACTATCCGGACGCTGCTCTTGACTGACTTTCCGCGCAGCAGCAAATCCTAAGGATGCACCGGCGATCACTGCACCGACCTCTATCTCGCTGATGCCCTTGGGTCGCTCAGCTTTTGGTCTGGGGGAGGAGGAGGTGAGCTCGGAGTATTTGTCCTCCCGCGCCCTTTCCGACTTGACTCTCTCGGAAACTCTCTCGGAAGACCGCGAGGATGGGGTGTCGACAATCGTTGGCTTCGGGGTCAAGGTCACTTCTGGAGACTCGAATTGTTGCATGCGCTGCTTGATCAGATTCTGTCCCTCTGCCTTCCGGGCTCCATGAACAGCAGGCGTTCGGTGACGATCCGTTTGTGTCTCCCCCTTGTATTTCTGAGATGGAAGGAGGTCTCGGCTGGTGGGTTCTTCACCATGGTGCTTCGGGGTTACATGACGCTTCACTGGGTCCTTTGGTCTCTGCGATCGGTGAAGGTCCACCGTTTCAGTTTCCTCGTCAACAGTAGGCCACGATAGTCTGGCAATAGCATCGTCGGATGACTTGACTGGCGGTTGTGCTTTCTCGGCAAGGGAGAGATCAGGTAGGTGTATCCTGCCATCCCTAAATCGATCCTCATTACCTGCAAAACCTGGCTGTGATGGGACCGGAGACTCGGCAACGGATGCGCTGTCTTGATTGGTGTCTGCCTCTTTTGAGTGTTGATGTGCGGGCTCGAGCAGAGTTAAGTTCTCCTCATGGACAACGGGGAGGTCGGAGATCCTAGAGTGATATGATCGGCTCTTGGGTCTGGGTGGGATGTTCTCAACGGGAGCTTCTTGAAAGAATGCCTCCTTATCGCCTTCATTCTTGTCCGAGTCCCTTGTCGAGGCAGAGATGTGCCCCTGGCTGACTGGGGGTTTGTCGAACAAGATATCCCGATTGGCTTCAGGTTCTGCGGTGATTGGCTGAGCTCTAGCCGTGTCTTGAGAATCCCAAGAGTCTGAGATGCTTTGCTTCTTCTTCCCCTTTTCTTCTTTCTTCTTAGACGAGCTGACCAGGGACTCGTTGGTCGAGTCTTGGAGAATTTCCGGAGGCAACTCGCGGCTTTTTTGAACGTCGTAGGTTGGCGCAGAAAGGATCTCTGTAACCGGGACCACCTCTCTCTGTGCTGGGATGGGAATATCCCTTTCTTGTCGCTCCGGCTGGATATCAGAGCTCGGGAATGATAGTTTGGCAGTCTCCACGGGGAAGGACTGCTCCTCCTGAACTGGTGGATTGTGCTTGTCTTGGATCACATCACTGGCGATTGTTGCCGGGCCACTTACGGGTATTTCGAGGCTCGGCTGCTCCCTGACCGTCTCTTCCTCTTGCTGGGGCGGCGACCAGAATCCGTCGCTATCATCGTCCCCCTCCTTAGCTTCCTCATGTACCTTCGGATCAGCACCTTCCCATAGGGTAGGATCATCAAATATGTCATCTTCTCTAGGAGCTCGACGATCGATATCTTTCTTTTTCTTGTCTTTCTTGGAGCCTTTCTTCGCTGGAGTGGAGGACCCTGAAGCTGTACTTCTCTTGGACGTTGAACCTTCGTCAAGCGAGGGCGAGGCCTTACCGAGCAAAGAGGCGCCTGCAAAAGCTGCTCCCGCTGTGGCAAGTGCCGCAGTCTTGGCAGACGATTTTGCGTCTTCAGACTCGTCGAAGGATTCTTTCACAGGGGTCGATGCAGTAGAGACTGAGTTTCGTTTGGAGCCTCCTTTCTTGCCCTTCTTTTGAGGTCTGACGAACACATCGTCTATTGGAGTAGACTCAACTGCAGGTTCGATATGGGCCAGAGACTCGTCCTGAGCAATTTGTTCGATGACAGGGACATCTCTCTCTACTTCAGCCTTTTCAACATCATGAGCCCAAGTTGTCAAAGGTGCTTCAGCAGGATCTTTAGCTTCAGAGACAGCGTCAACAGTTCCTTGGCGCTTCCTTTTATCCTTCTTGGACACCTTTCTGGAGAGATCAACAGGAAATAGATCATCTTCCTCTGTGGGTTTTTCGATTGGAGCAGGGCGATCAGAATCAAGTAGACTCGGCTCTATATCAGTCTCCTTTGGAGCGGGTGCACTGGATTTAGGAGGGGTGCTTAGCCCGCTTTCAGAGTCAGCCCCTGATGGCTTCTTGCCTTTTTTGTTTTTCTTGTCTTTCTTCGGCACGAGTGCAAAGGCGTCCTCCTGAGTTTCCTCGGCCGGGGTTTCGATACTCTTGATTTCTGGTTGATGAACAACTTCCTGCTCGGGTTGAGTCAAAATACCTTCGTCAGATTGAAAGTCGGGTTGATTGAGGGCTGGCAAATCGTTTTTGAGAGTTGGTGTGCTAGGCTCCGGAGCTGCAACTTCCTGAATCGGCGATGAGAGTCCAGATTCCCGCTTGTCTTTCTTAGAATTCTTGCTGGTGGGCGCCCATTCGTTAACTGGCTCCTCGACAGGCGCCGAAGTTTGGTCCAAATCGCGCTTCGATGCTTCTTCGGCTGTATCGACCTTTTGAGAATCATCCTCCGTAATCGAAGAAGGCTGTTCCGGTTCAAGATTTTGCTGCTCAGGTACCGCAGTCGAGATTGGATCCGCCGGTGTTAACGGACCAGACGACCTCTTTTTATCTTCCTTCCCCTCTTTTTGCTTGACCGAGAAGAATTCATCGGTTTGGCTCTCGATGGGTTCGCTCGCTTGGGAGGGTACTTTAGTGTCTTCTAACATACGGCCGGCTTGGACGGCAGGCTCAAGAGAGACGGTCTCCAGCTCGATGGGCGGTAGGGTTTCCTCGACTGGCGTTGAAAGATCTGACTTTCGGTTCTTCTTCTTGCCTTTTTTCGCAGAGAAGGAATTCCATTCATCGTGCTCCTCGGTGGAATCTTGAGACTTTTCCTGAACGGATTCTTCCACTTTTTCTAGTATTGGATCTTCCTGGAGGGCGGGGTCAGATGAAGCGATTTCGGGCTCGACAGCTGGCAGAATCTCTTCAACTGGCGTTGAAAGCCCCGAGTTTCGATTCTTCTTCTTGCCCTTCTTGGCGGGCAGGGGATTCCATTCATCTTGCTCCTCGACGACCTCTCTGGTTTTCTCTAGATCGGGCTCCTGCTCATTGACCTGACTTTGTATCAGCCTGCTGGATGGGTTCAGACGATGCGATCTTAGACTCGGTGGGTGGTAGTGTCTCCCCAGCAGGGGTTGAGAGCCCAGACTCCCGATTCTTATTCTTTTCCTCCTTCGATTGCTTGACGGAGAAAGAGCTCCACTCTTCCTGGCCCTCGGTGGCATCCTTACTCGTTTCCTGGCTAGGTACATCCGATGAAGTTCGTGGATCTTCCTGAAAAGACTCGGAAAGAAGCTGTTCGGAGACGGACGAAGGAGAGGGGTCTTCGGCAGGGGTCGATGGCCCGAATTTCTCCGACTCTTTGTTCTTCTTGGATAGCTCCCCGGCGGAAGCTCCCCAATCATCCTCTTGATCACCAACCGCTTCTTTAGGCTCATCGCTCACCACTGGTTCACTTGTCTTGCTAGGTGTGTCGATGATCGGTTCAACGTGAGTTGAGGGTTGGTCAGAAGCTGTAGATGCTTGTTCTGGCACAGGCTCAAGGGCAACATCTTCATCGATATGGGTTGACAAGCCAGATTTGCGCTTCTTCTTATCCTTTTTCTTGGATGCTGGTACAGAAAGTGAGTCCAGGTCATCAGTCTGGTCCTGAACAATTTCCTTGGCTTGCACATCTGCTGGCTGCTCAACTGGCAAAGCATTTTCCGAGGACACCAAGGGCTGTTTGATCTCGGGAGAAGGTTCTTCGAGTGGTGACTTCATGGGCGGTACTTCGCTGGGTTCATTTGGCTGCTCAGTCGATTGAAGCTTACCTGGTTCAAGATCTTCTGTGGTCGAAGGCAGAGTGGACTCCGGCAAAGATGGCAATGTGTCTTCCACCGGAGTTCCCAGGCCAGAGCTGCGTTTCTTCTTGTCCTTCTTGGCCGGTACCGAACCCCATTCGTCAACTGGGTTGTCGGTATTGATCGTCTCTTCAACCGCAGTCGCCTCGTCATGCATCTCCTTGGAAACTGGATCGCTCTGCTCAGGTGCTTCGACCGGTAACGAGTTTTCCCCAGAATTGGGTTCGGGTGTAATTGCGGGGACTTCATCGACCGGCGTTTCAAAGCCTGATTTTTTGCCCTTCTTGTCCCTTTTGGATTTCTTAGTTGGAGTAGAAGCCCACTCGCCCTCCGACTCCTTAACGGACAAGGGGGGAGCTGATGGCGAGTCTCCTGAAACGGGGTCCGGCGCAATTGGAGTCGAAGCGTCCGGTTCCTTGCCCTTCTTATCCTTTTTAGATTTCTTGGTTGAAGTAGAAGCCCATTCATCTTCTGGCTCGTTGACAGATGTTGGCTCAGCGGATGTCGATTCATCTTGCACAGAAATTCGTTCAGCCAGAGTGGAACTGTCAGATTTCTGGCCCTTCTTGCCCTTCTTTGATTTTTTGCTCGACGAAGAAGCCCACACGTCTTCTGGCTGATTGCTGGAGATTGGCGTAGCGGCTATTGATTCTTCTGGCGCCGAAATTGGCTCGACAGGAGCCGATGCATCTGATTTCTTGCCCTTCTTGCCCTTCTTCGATTTCTTGGTCGAGGAAGAAGCCTGCTCCTCTTCTGGCTCCATGGCGAATATTGGCGTGGCGAATGTCGGTTCTTCTGGGACAGGAGCCGATTCGATTGGAGTCGAAGTGCCAGATTTCTTGTTTTTCTTGCCCTTGGATTTCACGGAGGAGAATGAGCCCCACTCTTCCTCCGCTGGCTCCTGGAGGTCTTTTGCACCAGTGGGCGTCAAGTCCTCAATTGCCGGAAGTGTCTCGGTAATAGCATCCTCTGGAACAACGTCGCCAGGCAAGGGCGAATCAGTTGGCTGCGTCGGTTCAAGAACAGGTTCCAGAGGCGTCAAAACCTCAGATGGAGCTTCAGAGTCAGCTTTTGAAGCAGTCTTTTTCTTGTCTTTCTTAGATTTTTTGGTCGAGAACGAATTCCACTCATCTGCTGCTGGTTCCTCGGTGGCATCCTGGGAGGAGATGGCTACTTCCGGACTCAGGGCTCGTTCTTGGGGCGGCTCAGGCGATGTTCTATCCTCTGTGACTTGATCTACGGGCAAAGGAGTCAGCGGCTCGTCCTTCGAAGGTTCCAGAGTGGGCTCAGACGGTAAAGAAACTTCCTCCGAGTCCAGTTTAGACGAGTCCTTGCGCTTATTCTTGTCCCGCTTCGATTTCTTGGTTGGTGTGGCTTCCCACTCGTCGTCCACAGGCTCTTGGGCGGCATCTTCCAGAGGGGGCTTCTCCGACGTGGCGTCTGCAGGTGACACAGGCTCATCAATTGTCTTTGGCTCAGATATCGGATCCACTGGAGTTGAGAGACCCGAAGATTCAGAGTCCAGATTCGAAGACCCCTTCTGCTTCTTTTTGTTCTTATTTTTGTCTTTCTTGGATAGGGCATAGTCTCCGAATGAATCTTCAAGGGTATCCTCTACTTTGGGCGCAGTTTGGCTGGGCGTAATTTCTTCCTCAAGTTTTGGCTCACCGGGCACGAGAGTTTGACTTTCTTCGGTCTCGAGATTTGGGGAACCCGTCTCATCGGGCTTGGGAGAGGAGTCTTCCTTATCTTCCACAGCGTCAGAAGTGGAATGTGTACTCTTACGCTTCTTTTTGTCCTTCTTCGATTTCTTGGACGGTGTTTCGAACTCGTCGTCTTGTACATCAGGGACAGGAGCCGAGTTATCTTGCTCACTGACACCTGTGACATCCTGGGGTTCGGCCTCGGGCTGAGAAGGCTGCTCTGGGATAGAATCAAAAATGCTTCCCCGCTTCTTCTTGTCTTTCTTCGAGCTCTTTGCCGCGACTTCGAAGCCATCGTCCTGCTCGTCCGCAACGGGAGCAGGAGAAGCAGGTTCCTTAATGTCCGCTCCAGAGACAGGGCTGCCTGACTGAGCTTGAAGGTCGCTTTCGTCATTGTCTTGCCCAGGGAATGATTCATGACGGAGCAAGCTTCCCCGCTTCTTCTTCTTGGACTTCTTGGACGGGGTGAATTCCAGGTCATCTTGCGGTTCTTCTGCAACTGGATATGCAAAAGGTGCGCTCTCAACCGTAGCAGAAGCCTCCGACGTAGATTGCGAGCCAGGTTCCTCAGTTGCGGGTTCCGGAGTGTCGTCAAGAGTTTCGTTTCGGAGTAAGCCCCCCCTCTTCTTCTTTTCCTTCTTCTTCATAGACGGGGATCCAAATTCTTCCAGATTTTCATCGACTATCTCCGGTTCCGAGCTTCCCGCTGTGGGTGCCGATGTCGAAGGCTCCTCGGTGGATGCAGGCTGATCCTCGTTGTTGGAAAGATCAAGCGGCTCGTCCATCGTTGTGCTCTGCCGCTTTTTTTTGTCTTTCTTCTTAGATTTTTTGGTGGAGAATGCAAACTCATCTTCGGCAGCAGGAGATTCGATAGTCTGGGCCTCGCTAGTATCAGGCAAAGCCTCGACTTCCGTGGCAAAGATGCCCGACGCTTCACCCTCAGTCGTACTCGGAACAAGACTATCGCGCTTATTTTTCTTATTTTTCTTAGACTTCTTCGAGAACGGGGAAAATTCGTCCTCTGGATCCATGGCTACAGGCTCAGCCGAAAGTTCATCCCCGATCGCTGCAACAACAGACGCGGGCTCATCTTTTTCTTTGGCTATGATCGACTCCTGGGGAGCATCATCGTCAGGTAGAAGACTTCCACGCTTTCCTTTCTTGCCTTTCTTGGATTTCTTGGCGGAGCTATATCACGAATCAGCAACTGTTCAGCCGTAAAGCTCATTGAATGAGATCAAGAAAGTAACAAGCTGTCTCAATACCTACAGAACTGTAAATTCATCATCAATCTCAGGCGCAGGTGCAGTGGTCGACTCCAACTGCGGGCTCTCAACGCTTATTTGGAAATCAGCATCTCTGGACATCGGATCAGGCGAGGCGTCATCTTCAGTGTTGGACCGAAGCAAGCTCCCCCGCTTCTTATCCTTCTTCCCTTTCTTGGAGGAGCCAGATCCAGATTCCTCCTTCAGTTCAGGTGCAAGTTCATGCTGCTCGGCATGGATTGGCTCGTCATCTCTGGATGCAGAGAATTCAAGCGGAGCTGATGGTTCATCACCTGGAGCTGCCTCCGCGCCGGGGGCATCATCGAAGTAGTCATCCCGGGGCAATTGCTCTCCTGGGGTCCGGGAGTTGCTTCTACTTTTCTTGCCCTTTTTCTTGTCTGCCTTTTTCGCAAACTCGGCTTGCATTTGACGGGCTAGAGAGAGCTGATCTTCCTGATAGCCTGCAGCGAATCCGTCTGGTTTGGGTGCATCGGTTTTGTCAGCTGATTGCGCATAGGTTGTCTCGCTTGGTTGGGCGGCTTCCTCAATGTCGGGTTGCGGAGTCCGCGGTTCATTGAGATCCTGGTCGAACGGATCGTCATCTCGCATCGAGCCCTTTCCCTTTTTTCCTTTCTTGTCCTTCTTGTCCTTCTTCTCCTTCTTCTTTTCGGCCTTCTTCGCGAAGTCGGCTTGCATCTGGCGAGCGAGCGCGAGCTGCTCTTCTTGATACCCGGCTTCGAACCCGTCTGGTTTTGGTGACTTGGGATCCTCAATTGGATGAGCCTCTTCCACCCGAGGATCCGTGACAGGTGGTTCATCCTGCTCTTGGTCGAACGAAGCATCATCCAGCGTCGAAGCCCGTCCTTTCTTGCCTTTCTTATCCTTCTTGGACTTCTTGCTTCCAGATTCGAAATCGGCTTTTGGTGGGTGGGCAAGCTCAAGTTGATCCTCAATGATGACGTTCTGACGATCGCTAGTGCCGAGGCTGGTTCCAGATCGATCAGCATCAGGCCCTACGGAGAGACTTCTTGCGCGCGGATGTTGCTCAGGTGTATCGTCAGCGGTTCTTGATTTGGATGCCAAGCTCGGTGGTGTCGCAGGCAGACTCTGCCTCTTCTTTTTGTCTTTCTTTGAGGACTTCTTGCCGAATTCCTCCTGCAGCTGTCTGGCAAGACTGAGTTGATCATTATCGTAGCCAGCAGCAAGTCCATCCGGAGCCGCCTTCGGATGAGACTCCAACCATGGGTCATGTGCCATATCTGGTGCTGAGCTTGAGGCTTCTGTAGACAATCCTTTACTTTGAGAAGAAGGACCATCCTTGGAAGACCCTTCCCCGAAGATGGCGGCGGCACCTGAAGCAGCTGCGGCTGCCAGAAAGTATCCTCCGCTAGTGGAGCTTGGTACCTCACCGCTGAGCTGTTCACCGCCAGTCATGGGCATGGCAGCCGTGATTGGCCCACCCACCGGTGTGGGTCCCAACATCGGGGTTTCTGATGCGGGAATAATAATGTTCGAGTCCAAATATTTGAACACATCAGCTTGGGATTCATCATCAAGCGGCGGCTGGGATTTCTGCTTCTTTTTCTTTCCCTTTTGGAAGAGGAGGATTCTTCAAATGCTTCCGGAGCGGCACTCGTTTCGGTTTCCGCAGCGGGAGACTCGTTCTGAACAGGCTCTGGCTCTTCCCATGATTGAAACTTCTTGCCCTTGTTCTTTCCTTTCTTTGATGAGGATCTTGATGGCGTCAATTCGGCAGCGTCACTCTCCCGTGGGGCTGGCGTGGGAGTAATGGCTTCGTCTTGATCCCACGAGGAAGAGGCAGACTTGTTCTTTTTCTTCTTCCCCTTTTTAGAATCCGTGGTTGCGAATTGATTATCGACGGGTGGCGCATCTTGAACAAACCCTGGCTCATTAATAGGCTGAACTTCGCGCGGAGACTCAGGCAAGGAGGACTCGACTTCATCTGCCCAGTTCATCGTAGACTTTCCCTTCTTATTCTTCCGTTTTTTGGACTCTGTGAAATCGATGTCGGCTGTGGGTGGCGTATCTTGCTCAGCATCTTGCCCATCACTTGGTGTGTCCAGCGGCTTGTTTTCAGAGGGAGTTTCAGGCAAGCTGGATTCGACTTCGTCCGCCCAACTCGCTGATGCCTTCCCTTTCTTCTTCTCGGAATTCTTGGTAGGCACAAAAGTATCACCGGTCGGGGTCTCGTCGCGAGTATCAAGTGGCGAATCCTCCTGGAAGTCGGCTTTTGGAAGTGGCTCAGAATTTCTCGGCTCTTTGGTAGATTCCTCGAAATTCTGGACTTCGGGAATCGGAATCGAACCCTCTGTAGCAACAGGATCAACTTTCGTCTCACTAGAGGCAGAAGGAAGGGCTGAATCTTCGTCCAGGGTTGTTGATCGCGGCTCTTCGACAGTAGCAGGGTTGGCAACTGTCGATGGCTGTTGAGATGGGTTCGATCCGGCCTCCTTCGAATCTGGCTCCCAATCTGGAATCGACTGGCCCTTCTTTTTCTTCTTGTCCTTTTTCTTATCCTTCGAAGATAAAGAGATCTTAATAGCCTCAGCCGCCAGAGCCGGAACTTCTGCAGGTTCGCGGCCAGCATCCAAAGTTGAAGTCGATGGTTCCTGGGCGTCTCTCTCCTCTTCGGCTTCGAATGGTGACATGGACTTGCCCTTCTTCTTCTTCTTATTCTTGTCTTTCTTGGAAGAAGAGAACACTTCAAAGTCATCAGCAGGAGCGGGGATATCATCTTCCGGAGGATCGGGAGCTTCTGGAGCTGGCGTAGCCTCTTGTACCACTGGATCCTTGATTTCCAGCTCCCAAGAAGACTTTCCTTTCTTTTCTTTTCTGCCCTCCTTTTTCGAAGGAGTGGAATCCTCGAATCGAGCAGTATCGTCGATGGCGGAGGTTTCCCCAGAAGCATCACGGCTCGTTTCGGGGGCTGGAGTTTGCAACATGGCCGGCTCTTCGTCTTCAACGTCTTCAACAAAGGCAGACTTGCCTTTCTTCTTATCCTTTTTCTTGTCTTTTTTGGACTTGGAAGTGAAGAAGTCTTCTGGTTGAGTCTCGGCTGCAGTGGAAGCAATGTCAATTTTGGCAGTCGGTAGAGATTCTTGGGCGTCTTGCTGCCCCGTCTCACCCTCGAGATCTAAAGCAGACGCGGATCTAGACTTCTTCTTGTCCTTCTTGCTTTTCTTTGGTGAAGAGACAAAAGGCTCTGACGATTGCAGATCTTCTGCTGGGCTATCAACGGGAATTTCAGCTTCTTCAGGAATGACGGGGACGGCGTCGGATTCAAGATCGCCCAGTGCTTTTTCATGAGAGACTGGAGTTTCTTCGGGAATGCTTGACTTGCTCTCTTCATTATCGGACTTGAAGCTAGACAAGTCCTCGACGGCACGAGAAACAGACGGCTCCGAATCGATGGCTTTCAAGTCACGAGAGGTTGTCTCCACTTCTTGAACTGGTGCTGGCTCCGGCAACTTCTCCTTGGCGGACTCAGGTTGGCTCTCCAAGGAGGGCTCAGCATCCCACGAAAGTGCCGACTTCTTCTTCTTGTCCTTCTTCTTTCCCTTGGACTTCGGGGTGGAGAATTCGCCGACTTGGTCCGCCCCTTGCTGTTCAATGATCGAAGTCTCGGGTGTAGCCTTTTCGCCATCACCCACTGTAGTAGTATTTGACACAGGTTCATCCCGACCAGGCTCAAGAGACGGCTCAAGAGCTTGCTGCACCACTGGCTCTTCAGTATCCCAGGCAGAAGCTGACTTGCTCTTCTTCTTGTTCTTCTTCTGCTCTTTCTTGGTCTTGGCTGATATAAACTCTCCAGCTGGCTCGGACTCAGGAACAGCAACATCCGGAACGGCACCATCGCTAGCTTCGGGAACGGAGAGTTCATCTTGTGTCGAAGACCGTGAGAGGCCTTTGCCTTTCTTGTCTTTCTTCTTGTCCTTCTTGCTATTTTTGGTGACGGAAGCCAATTCATCTTGCTCTTCGGTAGCGTATTCAATTGACCCGGAATTGTCTGCACCATCCCTCTCCTGAATATTATGCAGCATATCTCGATCTGGGGGAGACTCTTGAGATTTAGCGGATGGCAGGCCATCTTTCCATTCGTCTTTGGTCGTAGGATGACTAGAAGTTGATGCGATATAGCCAATGGCGGAAGCAATCCCTGTTACTACTGCAACTGTAGCTGCATCTTTGCCGAAGGAAATAGACTCTTGGCCACGAGTGGGGCTTGGTAAACGTGAGGATTTCCCACCATTCTCTGGACTCACCAAGTCGTCAGGTGATGACGTTACTCCAGCTTTCGGTGTTGATTGCCCGGAACTAAGAATGTCTGACGCGCTGGCTAAGGCAAAAGCTGTATCGATGGACAACGGACCGAGGCCTCGAGGCATGTCGGACCCGTTATCAAAGGCATTGCCGCTGTCAGCAAAGTCATGATGAGAGGAGCTTCTTGACGTGTTGAGACTGGGTGGCAATTCGGGAAGAGATCCATATTCCTCTTGCAGTTGAGCGTTTGAGCCTCGTCGTGTGCTCTCGACTAGGTACAATGGTTTGTACTCCTTGGTACTATCCCAGGAAGTAGGGCGGGTGCGGTGTCGTGGGAATACAATCGACTCTTGGTTGGCTTTTTCTGGTGATAGTCTTTGAAGGGAGTCAGCAAATTCATACGAATAGCTAGAGACAAATACTGACAATGGAGGCGATCTGGTGGCTTTTGGTGATGTAGAGATGGGCGCTCGGTTGCCCATCTTGAATTTCAAGGGTACCTGGCTGTGGCTGGGTGATTTGATGTGAGAATCTTGCACGGGCTTGCGAATATTACTCTTGACTCTATCCCTAGACCTGGAGGTAAGCATCAGCAGATCCTCAATAGGTAATTATATCTGCTTGCATGCGACATTTTGGAAGCGGCCGGCAATGGGAACACTTACAATCTCTCCGCCTCAGGTGTAGATGGCCGGCTCTCAGGCAACTGAGGCAAGTCATCGAGCAGCGCGGAATTCGGCGACGCAGGATCACTAGGTGGCAAAGGAAGAAGATCACCATACTGGGGATCTATAGAAGGCCTAAAGTGGCGTTGTGTAATCTCAGGGTCCGGGGCATCTTCCCCTCTTGACAGCGTATCAGAGCCCTTCGAATGAGTCCGCTCCGCGGTCTCAGTGCTATTAGTATTATCGGCTTTCGGTTGCTGATGGCGCTGAGCAGCAATTGCAGCAGCAGTAGCACCCGCAATGCCGACACCCGCGCCAAGGGTGCCGGCTCTAGCTAAAAAAGAATCCTTCTTCGAAGATGTGCTTGCAGATCTTGATCGAGACTTCTTCTTCTTCTCCCCATCGCTATAATTTCGGTCGTCATCGAATCCATTGCCGTTGCTATGGCTGTTGGAAACGGATTGTGAGAGATCGTTGACAGATACTGCTCCAATGCTACCATAGAGACTACCTGCGTCAGGCAGAGAGGTTCTTTTGGATTTCTTTTTCTTTTTGGTCTCGTCGAAGTCGTCCTTAGAGCGCTTAGGACTTTCGTCCCGAACCCCAGCCTCGGATTTTGAGCCGAAAAGCCCGGAGAAGAGTCCACCGGATTTCTTAGACTCTTTCTTCTTGCCCTTCTTGTCTTCGTAGGCATCACCAGCAGGAGCAGACGCGACTGATCTTGCGTCGTCAAAGTCGCTTGTGCCGCTTCTTGACTTCTTTTTCTTCCGAGGTTCTGGGTCGTCATATCGTGAGGTGTTAGCCGACACCACTGACCGGGACTCTCCACGATCTTCACTATTGAATATGCCACTATCTCTGGCCGAGGACCTCCGTGTGCTCCGGGAATCATCAAACTCTCTGTCCCTGCTATCCTCTGAAGGTGTGCTAGGAGGCAGAGAAACTTCAGTCGGATCATATTCGTATTGCTCACTGCGTCGACTTGATTTGTCCCTTTTCCTGCTCGAGGATGATACCTCGGAAGCAGCTCCACTGGGCGGAAGAGCGACATCGGCCGGGTCGTTGTCGTAGCCCTCGCTTCGTCGGCTTGACTTGTCCCTGGATTTCTTGCTCGAAGATGAGATCTCTGACCGAGTAGGAGACTCGTATCTTTCGCTTTCACGATTCGACTGCTTGCTAGGCGATCGCTCCAGCTCCGATGTAGATACAAGAGCTGACCGAACGGGAGAATCAAATCGCTCGCTATCCCGCTTCGAGCCCTTCTTCGACTTCTTAGAGCTTTCGGCCCATTCGTCTTGGCCATTTTGCAAGTCATCAAAAGCATCAACCGGCACCGAGACAGCCGGAGGAGGATCGCCAACCGGATCTTCGGATGTCGAGGAGCCTTTCTTGGATTTCTTCGACTTCTTGGATGTCTCGAAGTCATCAAAGGCATCAACGGGTACGGAGAATGTTCGGGGTGAATCACTGACGAGATCGTCGGAAGCCGATGAGCCCTTTTTGGACTTCTTAGGTGTTCCAAAGTCTTCGAAGGCATCAACCGGTACCGTGACAGCTTTATCGCGAGAAGAATCACCGACAATATCATCATAGTTCGAGGAGCCCTTCTTCGACTTCTTTGATTTCTTCGGGGTACTGAAGTAGCTCTCTGGTTCTTCCACAACTTCAATGAGGGCAGACGGCGATTCAGAGAACGGTATGACATCGTCAGCTTTGCTTTTTTGTCGTTGCGCAGCCTTGTCAAGCTTCTTCTGTTCCTTCTTGCTCAACTTTCTGGTTGGCTCCTCAAAGTAGGGCTCTGGTTCTGGCACAATCCCCCGAGACACAACTGGCTCCTCGATTGGAGTAGAATCGACACTTTGACGGTTGGCTGCCTTATCGCGTTTCTTCTGCTCCTTTTTGCTGAGCTTCCTGAACGATTCGTCAATCTCGGGAGGAGAAACGAGGGGCTCGTCCTTTCGTGTGGAAGCAACCTCTTCAATGACAAAGCCTTCTGAACCTCTTGTCCTCGAGACTTCAGACGGGGTTCTCCCAATATCGGTAACTGTCTCCGCGTATGGGGCTTGATATGATCCGGGCTCATGCGAGCCGGGGGGAGAGTCACGTCTGCGAAATGCGGGGTCATCGATCACAATGTTAGGATCAAAGCCGGTATCTTGAAGTCCCGCAGCTACGGTCGCAGTGAAGTCTAGATCGTCGTCAAAAGCACCGGGCATGTGGTGAGAGCTTGGAGGTCGAGAAATCTGAGCGCTGGTTGGTTTGGGGCCTGGAGAAGGAGGGCTGCGTTGTCTCTGCGAGCGTGGTGGGCTCTCCTGCCTGGTATCGACACCACGCTCTTTGCGTTCTTCCTCGACAACCACTCCGCGGTATTCCATGAGAGGCTCTTGCTTCTTACCACTGTCAGAAGGTTTGGAGGACTTGGATATTTCACTTGCGACAGTTGCTCCCAAGCCAGCGCCAATGAGACCGGCAGCGATTGCGCCCCAGCTCCTGCTAGCCGTTTGATCATCGGAAGGCTGTTGTTTCTTGGGATCTTCACGGGCTCGAATGTCCTCTCTGGATCCAATGTCTGCACTTGATACAAACTCATCGCGGTGATCGGCCGGGCTTTCGACCTCGTAGTGCTTGGTTTCATTCTGTCCCCAAGTGACTCCTTTGGATACAGCCGAAGCGGTTGGAGAGGCAGTGATATTTCCCTTCGGCCCAATAATTATGTCTGATGAGAAAGAGCGTTTCAATTCGCGGTGCTTGGGCTTAGCTGATCGAGCTGGTTCGGAGCTACCTGACTCGGAACCAGCTACTTGCTTTTCAGGGGCTGGGGTGGAAGACGGAGTTGGTCGGACGAGATTCAAAAGGGGTCGAGGTTTGACTGCGTCAAAGTCCCGTACCAGGTTCGTAGATTGAGGATTTGAGCTACCCAAGGCAAGGGAGGGAACACTGAAGGTTTGCAAGTCTCTCGGATGGTCTATGACACGGTCCAAACGAAAGTCGGCATTGGGTGGATCGTAGATTCCCTTCCCTTTGTGATGCTCCTCCATGCTAGGCGGGGTGACGATTCGGATGACTTCTTGTGGCTCGTTCTCCTTGTGGGCGTACTTCTGGACAACTGAGCGATTGGGAGAGGGGCTCCGGGAGCGGACAACTTCAGAGGCAATTTTTCTCGCCATGACAATCTCACGGTAAGCTCTGTCGGCTTCTTCTTGGATGGGATCGGTCTCAAGAGCTCTATCGCCTGGCCTGGAGTCTCGCTTGTCATAGCTTGCTTCACCCTGCCTCTCGCGTCTTCTCTCTTCGGCTCTCGTCTCCCGAAGGTGTTCGGCAGCAACGACAGCAGAGACAATAGCAGCATCGTAGGGTCCAGTGAAGTGTCTGATCTCCTGAGCCGTCGATTCAGCATCATGAACTGCACGATCCCGTACGTCTCCGGCTCGATATCGTCGTTCTTGCTCATCCCATTCATTGCGGGTATCAAAGCGGGTATCAGAACGGGCATCAGTAATCCAAGGTTCTTGTCGTGCAGTAGAGGATTGGTCCTTGGTGGACGAGCTTCGCTTACGGGACAATTCCGGTTCTTGGTCATCCCGGCCTTTTCGGCTATCAGGATACTCTTTCCGGGATTCGGACCTGGATGTAGATGACTGATCTTTGGAAGAACTTCGCTTCCGAGAAAAGTCTGGCTCCCGCTCAACAGTGACAACGGTTGGAGCAGGATCGGGTCGGTGGTTACCCTGGGAGGATTCGATCGTCCGAGTAGAGAATGTGCTGTCTGTCACTTGAAATTGCAAAGGGTCAACATAACTCGTAGGCACAGCGGCTTCACTCTTCGTTCTGATTCGGGAATCAGAACGATCGTCTGCACGCTCCGCCGCACGTCGTTCCTCCCGGCGTTTCTCACGCCTCTCCTCTTTCTCATCACGTGTCTCGCCTCGCTTCTTGTCTTTCTCCTTCTCCTTCTCCCTTTCCTTCTCCTTCTCTCTTTCCTTTTCCTTCTCCTGCCCCCTATCCCTTTCTCTGCTCTTTTCCCTCTCCTTCTCTCGACGCTTGTCTTTCTTGTCGTCGCGAGTCGGACTCGAGCGCTTGTCCTTTTTCTCTTCGCGAGTGGGGCTAGAACGCTTGTCTCGTCGTGCCTCATCCTTTGCCTCTTTCTTCTCGCGCTTGAGACGATCGCTCTCGAGGGCCTCGAGTTCTTCTTCCCTCTGTCTATCCTTCCGCTCGTCTTTCGCAGAAGAAATCATGCTGCCGATAGCAGCGGCTGCCACACCGGCAACAGCTGCTCCTGCGAGAGACTTACCGCGGCTGGAGGAAGACGAGGTAGTCTTCTTCAAGATGCCGCCCGAGTCAGATCTGGTGGGGTATATCGGCTCGTAGACGCTCTGAGAAACGGGTGTAAATGGTTTGGGGTGCTGGATCTGGATAGGAGCGGGGTCGGGTCGGATTGGGGTATATTTTTGTCGGTCCGAGGCATGGGGAGGAAGAGATTCATTCCTATCCGCCTCCGACATTGGCATAGGTGGGATCTGCTGGAGGGATGCTTGGGACATGGTATCGCTATGGCTTCGTTCCTTGGACTGAACACCCCTGTAGCTATGCTCCTGAGCAACGGGGAAGGGACCGTGCTGATAAGTGTCGCGCTGCTCCCCGAAGTCACTGGTCGATACCCAGGCCACTTCTCCAAACCCAACAGGCTGATTGACAATACCATGGAGAGAGTTCGCCGGTCCAAAGAGCCGGGGGTCGACGACGGTACTCTTCCTGCTCCTCGCCGTATGCTTCTTCTTGCCAAAGAAACCCCAGCCCCCGTCCATCTCGTCAACGTCGCCGAATGCTAGTCTCGTATCAACACTCGACTCCGAATCCGACGCAGACTCCCATCCATCTTCGTCATCAGCTCCATGCGACACCCTCGAGGGAGCCGCCCTGCGACTCTCCGCGTGAGACTGGCCGTAATTACCATGCTGCTCCCTGACAGCGACCAATTCCGGCTTCTTTCCCCCCCTCCCCTCCTTGAGGTCGCGTTTGCTCTGCTCCCGCGCAAGTCGTCTGAAGCCTTCGCCCACAGCCAGAATCTCAGCCGTCGTTCCCATCTTCCCCAGCGCACTCGCGCTGCCGCTCCCCGCACTGTCCCTTTCCCTCTCTCCCTCTCTCTCCCTCTCCCGACCTTTCTCCCCATACCGCGACGACTTCCCTCCCTCGCGGTCGCTGTACCGGTCGCTCGTGTACCTCTCGCCATACCTCTCCCGATCAATCGTCCTCCCGGCCCGGGACCGCACCCGCCTCAGCTTCGGCCGCCGCATATAGCCGCGCCCGTACGCCAGGTCCGCATTATCGCTGCTCACCGAGGCCGAGGACGAGTTGCTGTATCTCTGCACACGGCTGCTCCTCCGGCGACGCAGGCGGCGCTCCGAGGGCGCGGTGAAGAAGGTGCGGATGCCGGAGCGCTTGGGGGGGAAGCTGTGCGATATGTCGATTATGGAGGCGCTGGAGGAGGAGGACGAGGAGGAGGAGTATTGGTACGTTTGTTGTTGTTGTTGTTGTTGTTGCTGTCGCTGTGCATGGGGCGTAGCGCGCATTCTTGCGGCTTCTTCGAAATTATCTGATCGTCGTTGTTGTTGATAATGTGGTTGACCTTTGCGTCTCTTGCTGGTGCTGGAGCCCGCGGGACTCCTGCGACGGTCTGCCATCATGGCTGGTGGAGTGTGCTATGGTCCCAGGATCATTGGTTGATTGATTGGGGTCTGTTTGTTGTTGTTGTTTTTCTGGTGGTTCGGCCCGTCGAGATTTAGATTTTTGTGGGGTGGGGGGCCTGGGGGCCTGGGGGGAGAGCTGGTAAAGTGAAAGCTAGGTTGGTGGGAAAGCTGAAGGAGGATCGCTGTTGTGGCGAATTTGCTCTCTCTACGAAGTAACTTCTGCCTGAGCATGGATGGACACAGAAGAAAATCCACACCTGCAGCTTCCGAAGCCTCAGCTCTTCAAAGTTTAAAAGTATGTGTGGTGTTGTGTTGTCTTGCAGGTTGAGTAGTGGTCGCTCGTTCGACGTCAACTTAGTCAGAGAGCTCAAAATTTCTTTTTTGTTTACTTGGTTGGGCACAGGGCACTGGTAGATCCCGCTTAAATTTTTGCCAGGGCTGTTTCTATTTTCTCTCCCGAAACCCGGGACGGTGAGTCAGTTCACGTTTGATTTAACAATATAATGAGAAAGGAAGGCACTCGGCGAGATCTCTCACTTTCGACAGTCTCATTGTCATAATCGACTACTGGCAAATTGTTGGGTGGTTGCGTCGTCGCACCAGATCCGCAGCTTCGAGTCAGAGATAACAATTCACAAGTCATCTCAGCCGTCAACGTGTACTCCGTACGGAGTATGTCTGTCCGTATGGACACCTTGGCACTCGACTCTGCAGCCAACCAGCCAACTATGGTCGGTCTTTTTTTTTTGAGACCAACACATCGCATGCGGGTCGCTCCGAGACACACTACTTACTTACCGGTACCTATCACTTTTCATGTGGAGGCGGAGTGTGGAATGTGTATGTGTGTGTGTGTGGCAAATTTGGAAAAATTGAATAAGGGGAGTGGTATGAAATAAGTAAGTACACCATGAAGCGAAATGGGCGGCCAATTATCTAGCCACTGCAAACAAGCAGCATGGATGCAAGAAAGAGATCCTTTTCCTGGCACCTGTACGCCTTGGCGCCTCATGCGCCCTACCTTTCCTTCGTTACTATACATTAAAAATCGTACATTCGGGCAAGTACTCTGGATCTCACCGATCGAGAGCTTGCGATTGACACTATTTGCCATATGAACTCAATACCGATGGAATTGGGATGCTGCACACTTACCATTTGATAGTATAACCCTCGCTTCCTCAGAAGCTGATTGTGATCTCCCGTCTCCAGAACCTTTCCTTCCCCGAGCACGAATATCACGTCGGCATTTTGGACCGTCGCGAGTCTGTGAGCGACGACGACCATGGTTCGACCCTGTGCCGCGCGCTCAAATGCTGCTTGAACGAGCTTTTCGCTCTCAGAGTCTAGACTAGAGGTCGCCTCGTCTAAAATCAAGATGTTGGGGTCGCGGATCAACGCTCTCGCGATCGCGATTCGCTGCTTCTGGCCACCAGACAGGGCAATGCCTTTGGTCCCGACATCGGTCTGATATCCATCTGGGAGAGAGCTAATGAAATCATGTATCTCTGCGTCGCGGCACGCTTGGTGAAGCTGCTCCAGGCTCGTCAATTCATCAACGCCCAGCAAGATGTTTTCCTTGATCGTCCCTTGGAAGAGTGTTGGCTCTTGAGCGACCAATGATATAATTTTGCGGTACTCCTTCACATCCATATCTGTGATATTGGTTCCGTTGCAGAGAATCTTGCCTTTTTGAACGTCGTAGAATCTAAAATGGTCAGCGCTGATTTGCATATCCTGTCGGGTCAACATACCGCTCAAGCAATGAGACAATGCTCGTCTTACCACACCCTGACGGACCAACCAAGGCCGCGAACTGCCCCTTCTCGATCGTAAGATTGAGACCGGTGAAGATAGGCGTGTCCCGAGTAAGATACTTGAACCACAAATTCCTCAGCTCGATCTTTACACCGCCATGGGTATCTCGCACTTCCAAGGCGGGTTTCGAGTCGGATCCCTGTCTCGTTCGAAAACTCAGTATCCTGTTTGCTGCTGCAGCTGCCTGTGCCATATTCGGACCAAACGATAGAAGGGTCCCTCCGCCTTCAGCACCGTTGATCACCGCAATGTAGACCACGAAGAACTGCTCGGCATCATAGCTTCGATTTGCCAGTAGTTGTCCTCCATACCAGAATGCAAGAGCCATGCACAACAGCTGAACTGAGTCCGATGCAGCGAAAACAAGAGTCGTCCATCTAGCCTTGAGGAATGCCTTCTTAACGTGGTCCTGAAGTAGAATTTCGTATCGACGGGTAATCATATCCTCCATCGTCAACGCGGTCACCGTTCGAAATGCTCCTATCGCTTCGGCCGCAAACTTGGAACTCTCGGCAAACACTGCTTGGTTCATAGCCTCGAATTGGATCTCGTAACGGATTCGGAAGAAGCCTGCGATCATAATCACAGGCATTGCCACAAAGACAGTGACCATGGCGAGCTTCCAGCCATAATTAAATGCGATGATAATGCAGCCAATCAGACTAAGCACCGCTACATAAGTCATGGCCATATTCATACCCAACATTTGTTGGAGCTGGGTCGGGTCATTAGCGACACGCGCTGTAAGTGTCCCACTTGAGTTGTCTTCGTTATCGAAGAAGTCGATCGGCTTGTTCAGAATGCTCTCAAAGTACTCTTGCCGGTAGGTACATGCGATGTAGGTAGAGATAGTAGTCGAAGACCAGCTCAGGACAAAGTAGGCTAACGCACAACCCAAGGCGAGAATGAAGAACATGAGTGCCCAATGGTCTCTAGCACTTTTCAATGCCTCCTCCGTCAAGGTTGTAACGTTCAGAATCTTCGCAAAGAGAAAAGCCTGGATCGCGTAACTAGACCCTGCCGCCGCACATGCAGAAGAGAGAAGCAAATACCAAGGCCAATAGACCTTTTGTTCGTAGAAGAGCACCCAGAAACATCCAATGAAGCCCTTAGGTTTGTACGCTGTTTCGGTTTTGGCTGCCTTGTTATCTCCACTTTCAAGGCTCATAGCCTGTACCAGATTATCTTTCGCACTTTCGATGAGATCAGATTCTCCTGCAAAGTCCTCTCCCATTGACAATTTCTGTGCATTGACCAGAGCCCAATATGCACCGTTCTCATCAGCCAACAAACTGTCATGAGTTCCTTCCTCGACGAGATGACCTTTCTTTAACACAATTATCTTGTCGGCTTTCTTGATCGTTGAGAGTCGATGTGCGATGGTTATGGTTGTTCTCCCTTCGCTGACTTTATCCAACGCGGCCTGAACTAGCATTTCTCCTCGTACATCAATCGAACTGGTTGCCTCGTCCAGAATCAAAATTTTAGGTCGTTTTACGATCGATCGGGCGATTGCCAGTCGCTGGCGCTGACCACCTGATAGCTTGATGCCTGCGTCGCCGACTTGTGTCTCGTAGCCATTTGGGAGTCGTACGATATATTCATCCGCAAATGCTTCCTGACACGCTACTTCCACCAGAGATCTCTTGGTATCGCTGTCTGCATCCTCCCATCGAGATCCGATCAGACCGAATTCAACGTTCTTGTAAATAGTATCTGCTTCATATATTAGAAAACGGTTTTCGAGGTCTCCGCGTTCTGGAAGATTGCTCGCGAGCTCATCTCAAGATCTCGTGGCAAATTTCAAGGTAAAATGCAACGTACCATTGAAAATGAAAGGCTCCTGCTGGACGAGGCCGATTTGCGTGCGCCACCACTTCAGGCCAACAGTCTCTAGTCTATGGCCTCCAACCCGGATAGAACCATTCAATTTGATCGGCACAGCGAGAACACTTGGACTTTCAGCATTCGTTTCCTTCTCCCTTTCTTGATCGGTTTTCTCGTCCTTTATCACACTTTCGGGCAAAACGTATCTATCCTCGCCATCAAGCTCGTACCATCTTTCGAGGAGACAAACTATTGTACTCTTCCCGGATCCAGACGCCCCAACGATAGCAGTTATCTTTCCAGACTCGAATTGAAGATTCAGGTCATCCAGTACCTTGACGTGAGGTCGACTTGGGTAGGCGAAAGTGACCGAATCGAACAAAATGTCTTCCGCAGCAGAGACTTCAGGGGCTGTTAAACCTCTAGCTGATGGTTTTGGGGCATCGATGACTGCGAAAAAGTCAGTAGCAGCCGATGCTGCTTTCGAAAGAGCAATAATCGGAGCAGCCGTTGAAGATATTGCAAATGCCAGCATCATAACAGACATGAGAACGATCAAGATGTCCCCAATACTACCAATACCGCCTTCGGAATACAGTTTGAAACCGAACCAGAAACAAAGCGCCATCGTAGCATAGATGGCAAAAAACAGAGGCGCGAATTGGACTCCCATCATCGGGGACATCTTTACACCTCTTCTCTGCGATTCTTGAATCCAGCCCGAATATTTCTTTGCAACGCGAGTTTCGGCCCCGCAGGCGACAATCATTCGTATTGATCCCAAGACTTCTCCAGCAATGGAAGATGCTTTCTGGTCGGCATGCTCCACTTCTTTCTGCATCTTGATGGTTACAGGGACGACGGACCCGTATACAAGCGCTATGAACACTATCACTGAACTGGTGACGAGGGTCAATTTCCAGCTGTAAGTAAATGCAACGATGACTGCAGTAAACATGAGAGCCGTGAATTGAAGTATCATGCCGAACTTTTCGGAGATTCCAATTTGAAGCGTATTTGCCGTGTTAGTTAGGGTATTTGATGCTTGGCCGCCAGGGAGCGTCTCCTGTGTCGCTACTGGAAGAGAAAACAGCGCCTAGCAGGTATCAGCATCATACTGGAAGTCAAAGAGTGATGCCATGCACTTTGGGCAACAGACCTTTAGATACTCGCGACGAAGCTTTGCAGACATGCGAAGTCCAACCATTCGAAAGGCCAGCATGGAAAAGTAGGATAGCACTGATCTGCCGATGAACAAATACACAAGGTACGAGCTTTGGCAGAGTTTATCAGCTTCTGCAGCGACCTTATGATATGTTGCTGAAGTAAGAAGTTCTTACGTCTGTCTGTTCAGAGAGCTTTTGAACTGGCTCTCGGAGACGGAGGAATTTGGGATGAAGTACTCGTTGAAACTGCCAACTAAATTTCCTGTGGAGGATGAGCAACCACCACCAGTTTCCCTGGAGATAAACTACGACTTACCGAAGACAATGTTCATTAAAGGAAGCGTCTATACTATCAATTAAGATTTACCCAGCTTTTGGGATACTTCACATACCGTGCCCGTTCCTATCTGAGCAAGCGATGCTACAATCAAGAATGATCGATCAGCCAGTGTAGAATATGTGAATATTCTCTGTTAAAAGTATCAGTCGCTGTTCCATCAAGGGATGGGTGGCTAAGTACCACATAATGCGACAACCTCGTCTTGTTCTTGGCTTTGGAGGAATAGTCTGCTTGCTCTCCTCTCTCATTCGCTGTCGCGGACACCACCTGGGGGGGTTTCTCCGTGTCTTCGCCCAACATCCTATTCCTACTCCTGCTCCTAACCTCAACAGCAGCAGGGTCACCGACCTTCGCGGGCGGCTTCTTTTCTCCCATGCTGACGACGGTAGTTTTTCATGCCACTCGGTCGGAGAGGGGGTGCTGACTTGGAAGTTTTGGAAGGCGGGTTTCGATGACAAAGAAGTCGATGGTAGGTTTGGGGCTCGAATTCCAATCGGCAGAAAACAATAGCCACGAACAGGTATAGGGCAAGCAGGCAGGCGGGCATGCAGGAAGCAGGCAGGTACGACTCCGAAGAAATGGTTGAGGGACAGCACAGCGGAATTCAAGAGCAGAGGAGAGGACGGAAGCGCTGAACGGAGTCGCAGAGAAAGAAGTAGGTAGGAGATGGGCATCCTCGTGCATCAGATGACGGTGGCCTTGGCAAAATAATGGATATGTTGCAGTCGACTTGGTCCTACCTACGCTGCTTACAGAATATATCGCCCGCTCGCCAAACATACCTACCTAGACAGACAGTATACAGGAAGAAGGCAAGTTCATTGCCCAGTTCACTGGGCCAAGCGGAGGATAAGAGTCCGATGCCGAGCTCTCAATCGATCAACGTGAGGGAAGTCACGTGATTTTGTTATGGATGGACTCGACTCGGCTCTGTATACGAAGTATACGAAGTAGTATGGCAATCAGTCAACCATAAGCCTATGACATTCCTTCTGTTTTCAGCGGCTTCCGCCGGCTCACTCACTTGCTTTGGCCACGGTTCTTTCTATCGGCATGGCGCAGAAACATGGCGCTGACCGGAGATCGGATGTATTGATCATGACTGACTGACTGACTGACTAACTTGACTGGCAGATAGCGAGAATGTCGATTGAGGTACGAGGTCACCAGTCTTTGTGGTGAGATAGACAGCTATTACTGTCTGATGAACAGCAGTTGTTGTCCACTTAACGTACCGGTAAGTTGACGGGCTCGATCCTTTAAGCCTCTCCAAGACCGGGCGATGCATCATCAGAAGCGTCCAAGGCTCAATTGGTAGCAAAGTCAAATGGCTAATAGATTTGATAAGACAGTAGTGAAGGTTGGCAGTACGCGTCTCCCAAAGTTCCCGCGGGGGTAGCAGCTCGGCTACAGCAGCATGAGCGTGCGCACGATCTGTTTTCATCCCAGAGCGTATCAAACGGATGGCGCACAGTAGTCACTCGGATCATCCCAAACTGTGAAACTCGACGTCTCCACGACTGGGATGCTGCGTTGAGAATTACTACGTATTTTGACTTGCGGTTTTCATACTGTGGTGTTCTACTCCACCTATTCTTTCTGTACTTGCACTTACTTAAGAGTTTTATCTTGTTTGCTACTTAGTACCTAGGTACTACGTACTTACTCCGTTCACCCAGACCCAATGAAGGAGGATCCTTGCAGTTAGGGCGTAGCCAACTGTACGGAGTGCAGATCGTTGCAACCCCTTTCCTCAGTTTAAAAAGATCAACGCATAGGGGCAGATATGCTGGAATCGCAGCAGGAGTTCTAATGAGATATGTTCTAATGTACAACTAATGAGATGAGTTCTAATATACAATTGAATAGCCACTCTCTTTCGATTTTATTGTCTAGGATCATTAGTAATTTCCCAACCCGTCCAAGCAAGAACATCGCTGAAAAAATACTTTAACTCCTCTTCCGTTTCATAGCACTTAGCCGTTAAACCCAAGTCAACTCTGTTTACCATGCCAATTGGGATAAACATTTGTTTTATATCAGGCGCCGCATCAAAGCCGGATGAGTCGGCATCTGAAAAGCGTAATGCTCTTCTCGGGTTTAATCCTACTGCTTTGATGTACTCCTCGATAGCTTCTTCGTCTCCGGTCCACAAATCTTTTTCAGTCCCATCTTCCCGAGTAACTGACTCGTGAGATGCTGGGATCCAAACTTTGCGTGCATCCTCCATCTTTCCGCTTTCCGCTTCGACAACGCAATACCAATCGCCATTGAGAGCCTGGTAGCCAGCAGGTACGTTTACTATTCAGATCATTAGCTCTTACCCGCAATAAGTGATAATCTATTTTCGTAAATATAAGATAAATCAACTTACTAAGATAATAGCCTTCTCCTATTTTATTGGCGAATTCAACTCCGATATCTTTTTGCAGAATTTTGATAGGCCTTTTAAATTCATTGATAAGCACGGCTTCGCTCTATTGATCATTCGCGTAATTAGTATAAGCTTATAATAACACTTCGTACGGATAGTTGTAAATCAAAGTGTGAAAACTTACTTGAGAAACTGTTCGAAAGCCGATGGTTTCTCTACGATGGGCTGCGAGAGCTCCACCTAAGAGAACGCTTGCGGCCAGCAAGATGGAGCAGAATTTTGTATATTGCGATAGTAGCATCATGTTTACAAAAATTATCAACAATCGTTGTTGATAATGGTGCGGAGCAAGTGAAAAAGGGGGCGAAACCGTCGATTATCCGAAGTTTATCCGAAGTTTATCCGAAGTAGTTTTGAAGGGGTTTTTTTAAACGTAGTATATAATTCTGATCCCTCAGTAATGCGAACTAAAGAATGGGGACAAGCTTAGCAGATGATGGTGATCTGGATCAACGGATATGTGAAAGGGAATATATATTCTCGATGTCATACTCATCTTACTAATATTAGCCACCGTAATTTCGAAGCTTATAAGTCGGGCTATGAATAATCGTGCGGCTAATATCCGTACATCGAAGATCCATCTTGAATACATTGTATAAAATCGAATTTAACGCTCAGCTAGTTATTGGTAGTAATTTTGCAATCCTTTGTGCTGATTTAGAAAGATCAACGTGATAATGCGCCAATAAGGCAAGCTGTTTCTGCTAATAAAGGGGAGAAAGGAAGGGAAAATAATCGTGCGGCTAATATCCGTATATCGAAGATCCACCTTAAATACATCTTATAAAGTCTGATTTGACGCTTAGCTAACTAGTAGTACCGTATTCAAGTACTCTTGCAATCCTATTTTCTGATTTGGTGAGGTCAACGTAACCGTGCGCTAATAAGGCAGGCTATTTCTAGCAATAAAACAAAGAGAAAGGAAGAGAAGGAAGAGAAGGAAGAGAAAGACCCTGTTCTCGGGGACGGTTTCAAGGTTCGGGACGTTCTTGGGACGGCCAGGGGACGGTTCAGGGATGGTCCCAGGACGGTGTTTTAAGGAAAAGACGAACTCTCATGAGAGACAGTTTAATCGATCAAAACTATTTCGTACCAACTACAATTTGAACAATTTGAACCGTTTATGTTCAGAATTTATCCGATATTAGAAATGGACTCAAGGTGATCATCCACTAACCATACCACCCTCTTGGGACTGTTTCCAAAAGAGATCGTTATTGGATGATCAGCTGACCATTTAAATAAACCTGGACCTGCCTTCAAGGCAGCTATAGATGACGCCGATTGTATTATCCAATCTTTTATTCAACACCTCAATTATTTGTTGATTTATTCGAATAATAGACTGAAAATTTCGTGATTTTTAGCGAGTTTTCAAGCTGACTTGGGAGTTAAAACGGAAGACATATAAGTATATATTTTTTTTCCCGAAGACATCTTGTTTTCGCCCACTTTTGGGAAGAGCCCTAAAATGCCGAGGTCAACTTCACTACGTACTACGTAGTAACTCTCAGGCGTACGTAGTTTTTAGCGCCTGAGGGTTCGGAAACCAGGGGGTTTAAAGTGGAGATTTAGACTTTTGAGCCACCCTCAGGCGGCTAATATTAGGGCTGTACTACGTATGGTACGGCAGTTGTTCTATACTAGGTACCTATCTCGACCCCTGAATCATGGATGTGGTTGTGGACCACCATCGCCGACATCTCTACCACATCTTGACCAGTCTCTGCGTCTCTGCGTCTCTGCCCAACCCCTTTTTTACTATCTCCCTTGGCCAGCGGCGTGGCAGCAGCGACTTGATGCATCCTTCCACATCTCCATGACACTCATCGTCTTTTCCACTCACTCGTTATTACTAACAAACCCACTCGCTCGCTCACCCTCTCTTTGTCCCTCACCCTCACCCTCACCATTACTTACAGACCTCCCTCACCTGTACTCGACCTCCTTTCGCCTCGACATTTTCGAGCCTCAGTTCGTTTCTTTCCAGGTAGATCCTCGGCCTTCTTTCAAAATACACCTACCTTTGATCCATCTCCATACTTCATCGACTTCGCACTCTTGAACTACATACGATACACACCACTGCATACGAGAGGACAATCCATCAGAGCATAGATCTTACACAAGGCGGCGTGCAACGGAACCCATATTACATACGCGAAGGGGAATAGCGTCCGACTCCGGTGCGACTCCGTCCTAGTCGAATTCCGCAAAATGTTAGGGCCGTTTTCCATATCGTCCGCTTTCTCCTTATTGTTACTCGGAACCATCTCTGGCAGATATCTGGTAGCAGCACAAATTTTGAAGACGTCAGGTTTCCGCGAATGTCTGACGGCGTCGAATATCACCGTTCAAGGCTTGGACATCGAATATAACAACGATGAGAAATCAATCACCTTCAATGTCATGGGAACGTCTTTAAGGACCATCAATGTGTAGGTCGCTTCGAGTTCCCCCTCCCTACTCGGCACAGCAACTGAGTCGACCAGTACCGCGAGCTTAAATGTTACTGCCTATGGCAAGAAGGTCTACCAAAACACGTTTAATCCATGCGACGCAGCTACCTACGTGAATCAACTCTGCCCTGTACCTTCCGGATCATTCTCAGCGACCGGCACTCAAACAGTTCCAGCGTCGTACGCGGATATGATTCCCTCAATCGCTTTCAGCATTCCGGACATTGCAGCAGAGGCGACATTGGAGCTCATAGCTCTCGACACCGGGGACAGTGTGGCTTGCATAACTTCGGATGTCAACAATGGCAAAACTGCTCACGTCGCTGCGGTATCGTACATTGCGGCTGGTATCGCTGCGGCTGCCCTGCTTGTCACCGGCGCCGCATCTATCGGGGCAGCTATAGGAGGAAGTGCTGCCGGAGCCGGGACAATGAGCCCTTCGTTTACGGAAGTCTTCACTGTTTTCCAAGGATTCGCCATGAATGGAATGATGTCTGCGAACCTCCCTCCGGTATACAGAAGTTTCACCAAGAATTTTGGCTTCAGCGTGGGGATCATCCCTTGGACGGCTATGCAAACATCAATTGATAACTTCCGTAACGCTACCGGAGGCAATTTGACCACTCAGAGCGTTGAGTACCTCCGACGTGCAGACCTCGTTTACGGCGGTAAATCCTCGTCAGTATCTAAGAGAGCAGTTGGGCTGTTGGTGGACGGGCTCCTGGTTTCAAGAGACTCACTCTCGACCAACGTCAGCGATACGCCCTTGTCTCAGTCCTCGAACACCACATCGAAAGTCCCGGTTAATGTGGACGGTATCAAAGCCTACGTCGAAGAGTTGTCCATTCCTTCGGCCAACACGTTCATGACAGTTCTCCTGATCGTAGCTTGCGTTGTGGCTGCAATTGCTCTCAGTATCCTGCTCTTCAAGGTCATTCTGGAAGTATGGGCACTGTTCGGAAGTTTTCCCAAGAGCTTGACCGGTTTCCGAAAACATTACTGGGGAACGATGGCAAGAGCTATCGTGCAGCTCATTCTCGTTTTGTATGGAATCTGGGTGTTGTACTGCATCTACCAGTTCACTAGAGGCGATTCCTGGGCAGCCAAGACGCTCGCTGGGGTTACGTTGGCAATCTTCACCGGAGTCCTCGCTTTCTTCACATATAGGATCTGGTCCACAGCAAACCAGCTCAAGAAGATGGAAGGAGATACCTCTGGCCTCTACGAGAACAAGGATTTCTGGCTCAAGTACAGCATCTTCTACGACAACTACAAGAAGGACTTCTGGTGGATTTTCGTGCCGGCTATCGTCTATATGTTTGCCAAGGGCTGTATTCTGGCAGCCACCGATGGCCACGGTCTCGGACAAACAATCTCCCAGCTTGTTATCGAGATGTGCTTGCTTAGTCTGCTCATCTGGAATCGCCCTTACGAAAGACGGTCCGGCAATGTCATCAACATCTTCATCCAGATCGTACGAGTGCTATCGATCATTTGCATTCTTGTTTTCGTGGAGGAACTGGGCATCTCCCAGACTACCCAAACCGTCACTGGTGTCGTTATGATTGCGCTGCAGTCGACCCTCACTGCTGCTCTGGCTATCCTTATCGCTATGAACGCCATCATCCTATTTTGCAAGGAGAACCCTCACCGCAAGAGACGCAAGGAAGCTGGTATGTTAATCTCATCGCCGTACTGCTGCTCCACTAACATGTCCCAGAAAAACTCAACCATGATATCGACACCCTTACACCCCTCCATGCGCATAACTCGCTGCTGATGGACACCACGAAGGTCTCACGGGACTACGACGCCTACGGATCAGATCGGAAGAACAGTATTGACATTTTATTGCACGAGCCTGCCAATCCTTACCCGGGCGCAACTGTCATGCGAACATACACTTCACATAGCGAACGGCCGTTCACGCCACAGTTCAGTCGTCCCCTTACTCCAAGCGATCAACGATCTCTCCACCAAACAATAACCCGCGAAGACCAAAACCTGGTTGTAGGCGCTGCTCCTTTAGGAGGAATAGAAGGAAGCCCGCTCCACACGCAGGCGCACCCGCCACCAGGCTACGGCGGATACAGAGGCATTGCATACTAAGCCGAACCACAAACTTAACGGATCTCCTTGTCGTCTATATATTTGCATTAGCGAGTTTGGTAATCTCTCCCATGAGCATTTTTGCAGTCCATGTCTGGTGTTTTGAGCCTGGTCATATTTATAAGTGCTGGTCCTTCCCAGCTAGTTCCCTAGTCTTTATAATTCCATGTATCGGTTTACGATGAGGCAATACGCCACAATACATACTGTCTCCTACAGAACCAGGCTTCATTCAATGTATAGGATCACGTCTGTACGGATATTTTTCTACATCCCATCCATAACTATGATATGGTATTGCGGGATCGGTTGCACGACTGCTCCTGGTGCAAGCACTTCACTGAATGGAGCTTGATATATTATGCTCACCTAACAAAATCCATCTATACACACAAATGCAATGGGCACTTACTCTCTCTCACCTAGAGCATCATATTAGTTACCTTCGGCTTATATTGAAAGATGTAACTGTACTGAGCTCGTTCCACCCTGGATGTTTTTATTACGTATAGGGGAGATGGGATGTGTGTTCATCGTTGATTTCAGTAGGAAGGCAGGGATGGATGGATGGATGGATGGATGGATGGATGTATATTTGAATTTTTAATGTCTTTGGGCTTTACATGGTTTGTATGTCTATATTTTTTAATTTCCATCTTTTTTCCCCTTCTTTCTTACTTACTTGCTCATTAGTTATAAATTATAACTAAGATTAAGTGATACCTTAAAGGCAGGTGGGGGGGGTTATCTGGACGGTCCCCGGACCGTCTCTTCCAGAGGTGGTCCCCTCACTCACTTTTGGGACGGTCAGTGGACCACTCGTCGTCAAGACCTGAAATAAGATCGTATCTGACCCACGACGGTTCCAATCATTTGAACCGCAGCGGAGATGGAACCGATCCAATCGACGAGGTCATCCTTTGCAGGAATCCGTCTCTTCGTGAACAGAAAAGGATTATTACTGAAAATAAGACGGTTTTGATTGGGTCGTCGTTTCTAGAAGTCGGTCTTTCTTTTTTTACCTACAAAAAGACGGGTCCGAGGACCGTCCCAAACAAACCCTTGTTCGAAAGCTGATAGGTATTACCAGTAGGAAGCAGATAGCTAGGTAGGTATCTCTCGGTCCTTTGCATCCCCCCCTCTCCCTGAGCCTGAGTAGGTATACGAGAGCACGCGCCCGGTACCTGGGTCACATTTTCGCTGAATCAATCGATTTTTCATATTGAATCGACGAAAGCGTTAGCGTTCTCGGAAGGCAAGTACCGCTAGCGACATCGAAGAACATCTTGGCATGAAAAAAGAAAAATCCGGCTCAATAATCAACGTCCTGATATCATTCTGAAAACAGTCTTCGTGTCTTACTTATACCTCGATGTAGATAGTTGGTAGGTCGTTTCTAGATTTGAAAACGAGTTCTGGAGAGAGCCCCGTTCTGAATAGTTAAGCGGGGACGGCTGTAGGACGACGCGGTCAAGGAACGGTTTCTCTTGCTCGGGGACGGTCTTGAAAATGATCTATTCCTGATTCGAAACTAGCGCCGATTTTAAGCGGTCCAGTGACCGTCTCCTTAGAGGAAGGGTTCCGTGGACCGTTCAAAATGACTCCCCACCTGCCTTTTAAGGTATGTACTAGTAGTACGATGTTGGATCTTGAAGATGTTGCGGGTAAGACCGTTTGGTGAGTATATATCATTGATTGATTCAAGGTTGGTTTTCCACTTTCGTAATACGGATGGATAGGTTCAGGAGTGAGTGGGTGGTAGGTATTCAACAGTCTTCTTTTCTTCTCTTCTATATGTCTACGTGTTTACTTAATTATCTCTGATTTCGAATTGAGGATTGAAGCCAGCGAAATCGGAAGATATTTACACCCTCCCAGCCGCTCGCTGTTCTTGCTCGGTGTATCAACGACCGAGAGCTAGGTACCTGGGTAGCTCAAAACTTTATAAGCATTTTACTTTCTTTCCTCTGTCGCTGCATGCCCCCTTTATCCTTTCAATAAAGGGGATTTCAATTCCTATTCGGTTTTATGATGAAATGAAAAGAGTCGCTTCACAACCATATTCGACTGTTGACAATCTTTCGTCACATCGAGAATACATGAAAGGATGCAGCTCATTATGCGCCAGCTTTCTTCACTCCTCCTCCCCCTCCTCCTCCCCCTCCTCCTCAGCGTATCTCCCGCAACGGCTGAGCAACAACGACCGGTTGCGCGCTTGGATTACGGCACCTTCGAGGGCGCGTACTCGGCAGCATACAACGTGAACTACTGGCGCAAGATCCCCTTTGCCGCACCGCCCGTGGGGGAGAACCGATTCCGTGCGCCGCAGCCTCCCGTGCCCGTCGTCAACGGGACGTACGACTCGGACCAGCCGTTTGACTTGTGCGTCCAGAGAACCGTATGTAGATGAAGTGAGAGATGTAGATGTAGATGTAGATGTCCTCGTCATTAGGAACTGGATACTGGTACAGAAGAGCTTCACTGACACACACATTTGCGTTTGTTCAAAAAACAGGTCAACGGCTCAGAGGACTGCCTCTTCCTCGGCCTGTACTCCCGGCCCTGGAAGGCGCCAGAAAGCCTCCGCCCAGTCGTGATCTTCTTCCACGGCGGCGGGTTCATTCGCGGCGGGGGGCCCTTCGAGATGCCACCGGGCGGCTACCCAACGCTCAACGTCTCGCACAGCACCAATCTCCTCTTCATCTACCCGAACTACCGTGTCAACGCATTCGGCTTCCTCCCCGGCGCCGAGATGGCCGCCTCTCCGACCACAGACCTGAATGTCGGCCTGCTCGACCAGCACGCCGTGCTGCGCTGGACCAGCAGGTACATCCGCCAGTTCGGGGGGGATCCTGACGACGTCACCATCTGGGGCCAGTCAGCCGGCGCGGGCAGCGTGGTCGCGCAAGCGATCGCCAACGGGCGAGGCGGCAGGCCGAAGCTGTTCCGGGCGGCGGTGGCGAGCTCGCCGTTCTGGAGCAAGACGTATCGCGGCGATGGGCCGGAGTCCCAGCGTGTGTACGACACGTTTGCGGAACAGAGCGGGTGCGCTGGGCCCGAGAGCCTGCGGTGTTTGAAGGGGGCCGACGTCCAGGTCTTGAGGGACGCGGCGGCGGTGGTGCAGAAGATGCACCAGTACGACACGATGAGCTTTACGTTTGGGCCGGTGATTGATGGGGAGTTCTTGGATCGGCCGCTGAGTGAGGCTGCCGGGAAGGGAGATCTGGATGTCGAGGTCGGCTATGGCGTGTATAACACTCATGAAGGTCCGTTCCCCTGTCCCCCTTATTCTTTGCCCAAGGCAAAGAAGTTGTTCATGTGAAAGGGTGGGTTATTGTTGTTGACGGAAAATAGGCGAGAACTTTGTACCGCCTGGATTCCTGAGTGCGACTAGCATCGGGACACCGGCTTTCAACTCGAGCACGGCTTCGTTCGACGAGTGGTTGAGGGGATACCTGCCCGGTCTATCGAGCTATAATATCCAGCGTGTGAAAGCGCTGTATCCGGCCACGGGCTCGGCGAAAAATATACCGATTTACAACACCTCGTATGTCAGAGCTGGACTTGTATACCGAGACACCGTCCTTGCATGTCCGGCGTACTGGATGGCGAGCGCAGCGAAACAGAAGAGCTATGTGGCGGAATACACAATTCTCCCTGCGACGCATGGTAGCGATGTACAATACGTACGCCCCCTCCACCAAATTCCGCGTGTCCACGCAACTCTGATAAGGATCATCACCGTGTCTGACAAACAGAACAGTGGAGCTCGGTCAACGCCGTACAAAAGACCCAGCCGCTCATCTACGAAGGCTTCACCGGGGCATTCGCATCCCTGTTCCAGACGGGAGATCCGAATGAGAACAAGCTTACAAACGCGACCCAGCCAGGCGTTCCCGATCTTTGGCAGACGGGGAAGCAGTTCGTGATACGGAGCGATGGATTGGGGAATCAGGGCATCGATGATGAGCTGGCTGTACGATGTGCATTCTGGAGGGAAGTGGCTGCACAGGTGCCAATGTAATTAGTTGGTGTAGGCATGGAATTCAAGATCCAAATATACCACAACCACCACCACAATCGCACTTCGGAACCCTCTGGTTGATTTTTCTGTCTATCCAGATTTTCAGCCCTGAAAAGGTCTGTATCCCAAGCGGTTGACCCCGCTTGAACCGCCGCTTTCGTCTATCTCAGCTCGGGCTGAAGGGTTGAAGGGTTGCAGTTGCAGCATCGTTGTTTTGAGCTTTCAATTTGAGCCTAGTTCTAAGACTTCTTTCCTCGCTAGACAACGGAATTTGTGGTCATCCTATTTGATCTCGTCTTATGCCTGTGATAGGAGGAGGCAAAGAAGGTCTGGAATCCCAGCTTCACTAGCTCCAGGCCCGACTAAGATAATAAGATTGGTTGAGTTCAGCGAGATATGCTTAAAGCCATCTTGAGGGTGCTGATTTTCGTCGGAGCTTGCTTGCTTGCATCGATGGCTGGGAATCTAGAGTGCTATTTGTAAACACGCAATGGGGGGTTGGGTGACAGACAGCTTGAAAAAGGCCGTGTATGTGCCTGGCACTACTCGTCCCAGAGCCGTTTTGAGACACAGGATTTTCTAAAATGAAGTCAGACATTGAGTACATGGGATACATTTGTATATCAGTAATGATTGAGGTATGGGTATTTTGTAGTCGGAAATCCCCAGCCAAAAAAAAGGCATCTAGAACTTTTGATATCCCCATCGCTCCCGAGAACGCCAAACACCATACAGTAGAACAACATACCGAAATATTTAACCCTCCGAATCCCTTACTACTTGCCTTCGAAAGCCGGGTGCTTCTCCATATTCGCACTCACCCACGCCCTCAGTGCCGCAAACCGATTCACAGCCGGATTCGGCGCCACAGCCACAGGCGCAGCTTCTACCCCATCATCAACCTCCATTCCCACGGCGGGAGCCACAGCACCACTCGCAGCAGCCTCACCCCCGCTCGCACACCCGGCCATGATAACCGCCAAATTCTTCGAAAACCTCTCCCTCTCCATGCGCTCCAGCTTCTCCATCCTCTTCCTCGCCCCCGGCCGGCTCTTCAAGCTCCGCATCTGCATCTTCCCGCCCTCGTCCCGCTCCTTCCCCTTGACCAAGTCCTCGACATCCGGTAGCGCGTCCGCGAGGTTCTCCAGCGTCGTGACGAGCTTCTTGCTGGGGCGTCGCCGCTTGAGCGGCTTCTTGTGCGCTTTCTCGATGCGGTTGAGGAATGAGGAGGACTTGATGGTGCGCTTGTCCCTTTTGGAGTTTATGAAGCTGTCGGAGATGGTGGCGCCTTCGCGGTGGACGGGGGGAGGGCGCGCGATGAGGCCGGAGCCTGAGTTGGAGGTGGAGGAGGATTTGGCGCGGATGGAGGTACGCTTTTTGGGGGCGGTTGGGGCCTGCGCCTTTATGTTAGCAAAGTCTAATGTGCGCCTTATATTTAGATATGAGCTTACCATTGTTGCAAATGTACAGTATCTAATTTCTGACACTTTCGCTGGCTGCAGACTCGAGATTTGGTGGTTGCGAAGGTCTCGGTCGTGGTTCAAGCGACGACATTCAAGAAATTTATTGGACAAGCGATTTTCAAGGTCCGGTCCGTGTCTAAATTCAACACCCCACGCCGGAACCATGCCCTCAGCCTCCGCAAGCATACATAGTCTCCGAGAGAAAATTTCTGATGCGGAGAATGAATTGAAAAAACTGAGAGAGCAGTTGGCTTGTTTGGAGGCCCAAGATGGCATCGCGGATTTAGAGCTGAACGAGGGGGGTAACGTGACTGAGGAGTCGAACTCAAAGTGGCCACTGGAAGAGGAGGAGTATAAGAGATATGGGAGGCAGATGATTGTTCCTAGTGTTGGGATCCAAGGTGATTTATTTTCTTCTTGTGATTTTTATGAACAAATTCAAGAGAGGAATGGCTGATATATGATTTATGTAAAGGCCAACTACGTCTCAAAGCCGCTTCAATCCTAATCGTCGGGGCAGGAGGCCTAGGCTGTCCTGCTGCGGCCTACCTCGCTGGTGCCGGCATAGGCACCATCGGCATCGTAGACGGCGATGAAGTTGAGACCTCGAATCTCCATCGCCAGATCCTGCACAACACTGCTAAAGTCGGCATGAAGAAAGTAGACAGTGCCATCTCATATCTAAAAGCGTACACCCTTCTCCATCTCCTCTAGAGAACACCGTCACTGAAAAATTATAGATTGAATCCAAGGGTCAAGTACAGAACCTACACAGAGCATCTCACTCCCCAAAATTGCGCTGAGATAGTCTCTCAATATGACCTCCTGCTCGACTGCACCGACCACCCTACTTCCCGTTACCTCATCTCTGACATCAGCGTCCTGCTGGGCAAACCGATCATTTCAGCATCAGCGTTACGCACAGATGGACAGCTTATCGTATTGAATTCGCCTCCTCTCGCGCCTGGCAATGAAGCCGGTGGGCCGTGCTACAGATGTGTGTTCCCCAAGCCACCGCCTGCGGAAAGCGTTGTCAGCTGTGGAGATGGCGGCATTTTGGGACCGGTGGTGGGTGTGATGGGAGTGCTGCAAGCGCTCGAAGCTATCAAGTTGATTGTGGGGGGCAAATTGAAGGCAGTGCCCGAGCAGACCGAGACTGCTGTTGCGGCCACAATGCTACTGTTTTCGGCGAATAGTAGTCCTGCGTTTAGAAGTGTAAGGTTGAGGGCTAGGAGGCCGAAATGCTTTGCTTGTTCGTCTGAGGCTGGACTTACGTTGGAAAGCATGACGAGTGGCAGTCTGGATTATGTCTTGTTCTGCGGAGTCAGCTCGCCTGGCAACCTCCTTAATACGGAGGAGAGGGTCGAAGCAAAGGAATATCATGATGTGAAGGGGAATCATCACCTGTTGATTGATGTCAGGGAGAAGGTGCAATTCGATATTTGTAGCCTTGAAGGCTCGATTAATGTCCCATTCTCGACATGGCGCGGCAACTGGGAACTTCCTCCTAATGGGGAGATTCCAGCTTGGTTGCCGAGAAGATTGCCGGATGATGCACCCATCTATGTTGTGTGTAGACTTGGCAATGATTCCCAGGTTGTTGCAAAGAAACTGAAACATAGCGGGTTGGCTGGTAAGGGAAGGTATATCGGGGATATTAGGGGTGGACTCAAGGCTTGGAAAGAGCAGGTTGATAACTCGTGGCCGGAATACTAAGCACACTCCCTCTTCCACAACCAAAATATAAGAAGATTGATAAAGTTCCAGGTGAAAATCGGACACTGATAATTTGTTCCGTGGCCCGGGTACCCTCTGGACTGTGATCCACCTGTCTGTTGCTTACAAAGAAGAGGCTCAGAAACACCGGGTTTGCAGCTAGGATCTCGTTTCCCGCTTGCATTTCCATTTCTGACAAATGACAACATTCATTGTACTTTCACAGAGCTGTCATTCTTATCCATATTCGTGTCATCCCATCTCGCTTAAAGAAAGCTCTCAGATGTATGAGGTACGCTTCTTGTTGAAAGCTCGTTGATCCTTGAGCCATCGTCTGTAGCCTGCCACGCTAGATATCTTTTCACCGTAGTAGTCTGTATATAAGGTTAGCACAATCGCACCTATATTTTTACATCCTCTCAATGGCTGTCGTATCTAGCTCTGAGTAGCTGGGGTTCACATACCAGGTACCGGGTTCGCCATGCTGCTGGCCGACGGATCCACTCTGAACTTCTTCACCCTCCTGTAAAACTCTTTCTCTTTCTCGTCCATTTGACCTCTGAACTTCCGGTTTGTCCAGTTGAACATCCCCGTCCCCATAATTGGACCAAGAAGCCATCCCGTACCTCCACACGCAAATGTGATCAACCCCAGCGTAATGAATGGATCTAAAGGAACCTGCGAGACCAACGCATCCATGTCCGCTATTGTAAGGGCCTGCGCTCCCATGACGAATCCTCCTAGTCCAGTACCGACCGAAGAGCCGAGCTGATACCATCGGCGTGTCTTGCGCAGCTTGAAGAACGTGTTCCAGTCAAGAAGGTCGGTTTTGGACGCAGGAGCTGCTGCTTGATGTGGTGAAGTTGTAGCAGCAGCTGTAGATACATTTTTGGTGGTCGATGTAGAGGGTTTGAAAGTTACATTTCGCTTTCCGAGCTGCACCCTCCGTCTGGAAGCTGTAGAGCTAGCGCTCGTGCTTTGGTCTCTGCTGAAGGACGGGGAAGTGGTAGTGTATGTGCACGGCGTGAAGAGAGATGGTTGCAGCATGTAGCCGAGTGCAGCAGTTCGAAGCGTGGGCGTTGCTGCGAGCATTTTGGCACGAGTTTGTGATGGAGTAGAGCTTTGATCAAGCTTGAGAGCTGTGATTGTATGGACAGTAATTTAAAGTTCGAGGTGCGCGTAAAATAAGCGCCTGGTTTTAACGCGTCTCTTCTGACCAATCACGCTTACTTTCTTTTGGCGATATCGACATATTGATTATCTCGTAATTACTGTTTTACTGTTTACTGAATTATCATTAACTCTACACCACTCTTGCAATCTTGTTTTCTCACATAGATAACCTCTTTCTGCCACGATTTGAGAATCTGCAAGGTGCCGCGACTGTTTTCCGTAAGTCAGAGCTACGAAAGTGACGTTTGTTTCCACGAAACGCGGCAAACGTCTCCGGAGAAGCTCTTTTCCTCTCGTATACCTTCCTCTCTTCTTACTCTCTCTCCTCTCTCTCCTCTCTCTCTATTTCTCTCTTTCTCTCTCTTCAAATATTTCGCTCTCAGCACCACCAACACCAAATACGAGCTCTTCTGAATGGGCAAAGCTCGCCGCCTCAGGCAGAAGCAAAAGCGGGCCGAAGCGGCCGCACCTCAACGTCTCTTCCGTACCAGCGACCAAGGTGAGCTTCCATTACCCTCGATAAGAACGTGAGGTAAATCCCTGCCTCAAGTTTCCCGTCTCTCAAGCTACTCAGCGCCGTCTTTTGCCATGTTGCTAAACTCTACAGCGTTTGGGGGTGTCGACCAGGTGAATATTTGATTATCCCGAAATAAACATCTGATGACATTGCTGACTTCGCTGGCAACAGGAAGACAACAATAACTTCTTGGATTTCGTTGTAGCCGAAAGACCGAGGTACATAGTAGGTTATGCTCGCTCCGTTTACTGAGGTCTATTTCTCATTGTCTCAATATCTGGGCACATATCTCTGACCTGCCGTACAGCCCGGTTCAGGCCCCCCTCTTGCACCGATCTCCATCATGCCGGCTCATACCACCAACAAGACCGGTATCATTATATACCACTTTCAGCATGAATTCCACCCCCGCTATGTGGTCAGCTACGTCGACAAGCCGCAACTTCGCATTAGCGTCGCCCCCGAGAATATTCTGAACTGGGTATCTGCCAAAACCTTTGAGGAGTATGAGTGGAAGCGTAGCCAGGAGCTAGATCGAAGCAAACCTAGGAGCAAGCATGATCCAGCCCAGCAAGATTTTGCGCCGCGTGATGATGGGGAACCAAAGCAGAAGGGGAAACCGGGTAGGAAGCGCAAGCATGAGATCGATGATGAGCCCAATGTCACGGGAAACACTGGTACTTCCAAGGGCTTGATGAGACAATCCTCTCGCGCTGGCCCACGGAAGCCGATCGATCAAAACGAACCCGCTCTCACCTCGCCTCAAAGACCTACTCTGACTTCGCATTCCGCGCAGCGTGGTCTGGCTGACATGGCTGACTCCGAGGAAAGCAGCGATGACGAAGATGACGAAGTCTCTACGGATGTTGCTATTGAGGCTCAGCTTCACCAGTCAGTTAATCTGAGCCCCTTCTATGTGATCTTATGTATAGGCCACTCGGATAATTGTATACTGACTTGCCAATCAAGTACCATGGCGCCGCGCTCACGATCTCGCCTTGGTCAGGGGGTTTCTGTGTCTACAAGTCTATCTCCAGAGCCTAATGAAGCGAACAAAACCCGACGTCAAACTCAAACTCCAAAGCAACTAATACCCTCCCGGGACACGTCAAGACAAACTGGAGGATCTGTCAGCCGAAGCGGCTCTGTGTCTACCGGTAACGAGGCCAAGCGTCAACGTCGCTCAAGTCGCCAGGTCAGTGAAATTTCCCCTTCGAAAAGTTCTTGGCATACAGACTGCTTTCAATTGAAGTCCTAGTGACTCCATGTCACTCGTATTTTCTGTGAATTTGGAATTGCTAACATGCCTCTAGGACTCCTTCGCCACCACCTCCAGCCGTGAGGCACGCCGTGTATACGATGATCTGGAGCGCCGTAAAAGCCAAACTTCAAAGTCTACAATTGTTTCGAGATACTCAACTCTGAACCAAAAAGTCGAGCCAGAACCCGAGCCAGAACCCGAGCCTGAGTCAGGCGGGGAAGAGTACGAAGTTGAGGAGATATTGGGCGATGAGATAATCCATACTGGCAGCAAAAACAAGCGAGTCGTCTTCTACCATATTAAATGGGTTGGCTTTCCTGATATCACCATGGAGCCCTATTACAACGTCGGTGATGAGGCCGTTGCTAATTACAAGAAGAAGAAGCGCCTTGGTACTCTGAGCAAGAAGGGTTACAAAGTCGTCAGAGCTGACGGAACAATTAAAGTTGTTGGTGATGGTGGCGAAAAGAGTGATTCGGAGCCGCTTTTCGCGGGAGGCAAGAGGAGCATGAGAGACTCCCCGGCTGGTCAGGTTGTCGATGATGAGGACGATGAGGACGATAATGACTCTTGAGTGCTTGTCTAGGCGTCAAGGGCTGGTGGAGCTGAATATAAGCTCAAAAGTTGTGTAAGATATTGTGCATTTAGATTGGCTGGGTAGCTAGCTGCTACCTTAACACTGGGTGTCAGATACACAGATACCAGATGCTGCCACTGATGGTGGGTCCACCCACAGACGAGAGATGGTCGCAATTCAGATACTTTCACATATGTTTTTCTTTTTTCTTATATCAACCTTTCGATTTCTTGATTTATTTGTCCCGCTGGTGGCCTGGTATTTTCTAAATTTTCTCTCATGCTTGTATAGCACACATAGAACATTCAGCGAGGTCCAATGTGCTTACAGGAGTCCGAGGAAATTTGGATTAAGCTAGAGACACTAGTAGCTCCAGTTTCCTAGATATCTTGGCCAGAGAGAAATTTCGATGTTTCTAATTGGAATTGCTTTGACCGGTTCACTGCAATTCTCTCTTTACACGCGCAAAGCGTGTTGCATACACACATACATACATAGAACACTCGCTGTTCGTTATCCTCACAGCCTTGCTTGGAATGCAGGATGCGGCATGGCCCGTACTCGGTCAGCGGCTTTGTGGTGCTGTAACTGGGACTGTGTCTCGCTCGCTCCAGTTCAATATCACCGTGCTGGTCTGCAGCCCCTGGCGAGTATGGTTGAGAATCGTGTTGAGTGGTTCAGTGTTCATGTGCAGCACACCAATGCACCTCGCTGGTTCCAGTATGGAAGTGCTCTGCGGGGTATGCATACGGACTGCGCCTTGCTATGAGTCTCGTCAAATTGCGAGAGACCTTCGGTATGCAATGAAAATTCTGCGGAAGACTCGTCCACGGCCTTTAAGGAGTCGTCGTATCGCGGCCTCGTCTTGAATTGCTTGTCACCTACGCTTCTACTCTCTCTTCTACTCTTACCTTTCTGCAGCTTTCCAGGTCCCCTTGAATCGATTGAAGAGGAAGGATGGAAATCGCCGGACTGACGGCTAGTGTGCTTGCCATTACAGGTGCAGCCGCAACAGCTTTGAAGCTGTCGCAGTATATGTACCAATTGGCCATTCAACTGGAAGCGGACGGCGATGAGATTACAGATATGGCGCTCGATATGCGAAGCTTTCATACCAGCGTTGGATTTAGCCTTTTGACTCTCAAGCGATGCTGTACGAAGTTGGAGTCAGCGAAGTCGCCAATTCATCAGTAACTCGAGGAATTTGAAGAGCTCCAACAGCTAGCCGATAAATCTGACCGCACAGAAAGACTGATTAAGAGGGTACATAAGTCCACTACTTCGGTTGAGGGTCAGCGGAAGATAGTAATGCATGTAAAATGGGCGTGGTTCAAGAAACCACAGATACAAGCGTTACATTTCCCGATGGAGTCGATAAAGACTGAGCTTCTTCTTATATTAAATTGCATTTCTATCGAGCTATCATTCGACAGCTTAGAGAGAGGTCTGCCTCCTCGGATCCTGCAAGAGAAATTAGCAGAGATGTAAGCAGATACGACACACCCAGCCGCAAGATTTAGCTGTTGACAGGCAGCAGAGAACAACTGAAAGCTCAGGTTAAGCTTCACGTTGAAACCATAACTCTCTTGCAAGAAAGCGAAGAGAGGCGGTGGGATCGAGATTCAAAGCATGTCCGACAGTCACGGCAGCACCCAGGCCGTCAAATCAGTTGCAGAAGGTGCTCATAAACCTCGGTACAAGCATGGCAGAACGAGGGCAAACTCCTGGTTCAAAGCCTCCGTCACCATCCTCTTCCACAACATCATATGGGCGCAGAAGCAACTACGTGGCAGCATCAAATACAAGCAGCCGGCTGTCTTCGTCGCCTACAACGAGCGTCGAGGAAGGTCCAATGGACCCTCCGCAGCGCGTCAACAAGGCGCTATACGTGCCACAAACCTCCTTGCTCCCACCTCCACTCCAATTCCGAAAAAGAAATCTCAGCTTAGAAATTCGAAGTACAGACCGCCGGAACTCAGATAGGTAGCGTAAAACCCATATACTCGCTTTGAGGCGCAAGCAGGAACGCATCACAGGCAAAGAATCGGATCCAGCGGCTTCACCTGCCGTTATCCCGCAACTGAGGCGTCGCCCACCAACCCAGGAAGACTATGTCTCCGTCCGACCTGAATCGAGCTATCTTCATTTTAAAAATAGTCTAACGATGGCGAGCATTTCGGGCTATATCGATACGGAAAGAGGGCCGGTTCCCATAACCGCGAACTTGGACCCAGAATTCCCTCAGAATCTGATCTCTGTCGCATGCGTGGCTCGTCTCGGTCTGGTCATCGAGTCGCACGGTACCGGCGATGATGGAGGAACCCAAGAGGTGATGATCGATTTTGGGAGAGGCGAAAAGAGCAAGAGTAGTGGGCAGGTGGTTTTTCGGTGGAGTGCAGGTGTATCTTCGCATAGGATACCGTTCAACGTTACGTGCCTGGTGTATGAGCATAATATTCGGAGTCTGGTCCTCGGACAGCCGTTTGTTGAAAAGAGGCAGCATTACTGGAATGGTGGCGAGGATGGGGTGGGGACCGAGAATGGACGTGATAGATGGAGATGAACTTAGGTTTTCCTATGCAAGAGATTATGCACAGGGAAGTCAAACTATCGAGTTCTTCTCGAGCAGAGTCGGAGCTAGGGCGACTTCCCCTGAGACGCCTGGGAACTTTGGCACATCTAACCCCTTGAATCGATGAGCCCCATCATCATCATCATCATCATCATCATCATCATCAAGGGAACTTCGTGCTCCCACACATTTGTGGTGTATAGCTCTGGATGGCTGCCTCTTGAGAAGCTACTGTTTCTCGATCACAATTCCTATCGGTACCGGCTAGATCGGTACGGGGACTTCACCCGGCTATTGAATCGAAAACATTACTCACGTCCCAGAGAACACGGGTCAATAGGTACAGCTGCTTGATATATTACCTGTTGGTGAACAGCCCCATCCTCAGTGTTTTTGGCTGACGTACCAATCGATACAGGTCACCGACAGCACACCATCCGATGGTATGGAGCTCTATACGCAGCGCTCTCGGCCATTACTTCTCCAGAGCAGACCAAGCGACACGGACAACAGCGGGTGAAAGCCATCGAGATCAATCGGCATTGTTTCTTGGACTCTGTCGGAGTTTATTTGCTTCTGATTGTGCGTATGCCGCAGATGCTACTGAGCGCAAGAAAGCTTGAGGGTGGACTTCTACTATCTACTATCTCCTGTTTCTTCTCTTCTTCCTTCATACTCGATACTATCGATGGGCCGCTTTTCAAGGAAATCGAGCACACCAAATGTTGGTCACAATGGTCAGATATGTTTCTGGCTTGCTTATTGTCCCTTTATCACTCACGTTCTGGATTTAATCAGTCTCGGGATATTTGAGACATCTGGCTCATCAGGTGTAGAGATATGCACTTTGCCGTCTGCTTACGCTTACGGGTTGTCAGGATCATCAACTTTGTTCAACGACTTCTGTCTTGTTTGGAATTGCGGACGCCTGAAACTCTGGCAAGCCCTTCAAAGACCAAATTGGTATAAGATGCACAGATATCATGCCTATTAGTTTGCAAAGTATCTACAAAAACCCTCCCACGCTATTACAACATCATATTCGTTCATTGCCAAATCTAAGTCCAACATGTTTTGTGACTCTCAACCTGACAGTCTTCTCTGTCCTACAGACGTCGCAGCTCTGGCCGACCTTGGCACTATCACTCCACGGACTCCACCATCTACACCTGAAGAGCGTGCATTCGACCAACTGCCCGAACAATCCTTGCTCGACTCCAAGTCTCTCAGTAGCCTTCTTGCGGATCTTCTGGGCCGGGGAAAGCTTCCTGTGTGCATCCATGCCAATGGATCGGTATTCCAGATATCCGAGGTTCAAGAGGCTGCTGACCGGCCTGGTTGCGAAAATCCAGGAACACTCACGTGCCGCTTCCAAAGATATTGCAATACCACGACGCGCCCTCCAACGAAAGCTAAGCGAGATGGGGAGCGACGACATCTCCGACCTTGCGGAAATTCGCGGACTGCGCGAAGATTCCAACACACGTCACGGTTTCTCGGACTTCTGCATTCAAAACCTGCAGAAGCTGCTGCTTAGCAACATCGAGGACTCCGGCCCACGTGGAATTATCGAATGCGGCCTGCCCAGCACAGCAGGCCAGGTGTCAAGCAGTTGTTTACGTTGCAGCCGGGGTCTATGGAATTTCAAAGATGTGCTAAGTGCAATGGGTTATTCAGAGGAAGTTTTAAATGATCAGGACAACTGAAAGGATCATGAAGAGTTTGTGTAACAGGGCTCGTGCTTCAGAGGATGGGAGTATCATCAGTACACAACCAGTGGGTAGTCACAGCTGTCTTCGGCGTACATGGAACTTGGCATGACGGAAAATATCTGGCGGTTGAGATTGCATGCAGTCAGGGAATGAATGAAGGTTTACAAGTCTCGTCCCCTCCCTGACTAGGTTGAATAGCCAGTCCTACATGAACAGAAATTACATCGACCCTTCGTTTGGCTCCAAGCCCTAGCATGTCCATGGCCTCCATCGCTTCCATCTCATCCCGAAACCCCGTGCTTGGATAAAGAGAGTCTGCCACTTCTTTCCATTGCCGCCAACGTTGTTGTTGGGGCAAGGATTACACGCTCCTTCTTCAGAGTTACAGGACCTCAGAGCGCTTCCCATTAGTGGGCTGGCAGTTCCACTCTGCAGGGCAGGGTATTTGACGCTTCGCCTCCAAGGACGCTGCTCCGTCGCTAAATCCAGTTGTTGGCTTTGGCTGGCTCATGGCAGAGGCTAGGAAGGGATACTTACGGAATTGCTAGAGGGGCAGCGATTGTCAAAGCCGAGAAGGCTACAATAATGGCAATGGAGAACTTCATGGTGGGAAATCCGAAAATGTACTTGCAAAATATTGGTCTTTCGGTGTTTGCAGAAGGCTTGAGGGTGAATGACTTGAGAGTGAAGGATGCTGATGTCAAGTCCTAAGGGGAAGTGATGTGGTATATATACTTCTTTTTGATCCGTTTGTTCCGGAGTCAACTATCCTATGATACTGAATCGTGTAGCTATTATACTTCAGTTCGTACCTCGGAACTCAATACTGTCCAGATTAAAGTGAACTTGCTGTGGAAGTACTTCATCACAGGCCAAATACAACATTAGGGTTTCGCTGCCCCGACGCTGTCAAGGCTGGATGACGAGTTGTGTAAAGGACTGTTAGATAACAACTACGTACGAAGTAGTAAATCAGCAAATGAGAGGGAGTAGGGTGCACAAGGCTAGGATCTGGGATCTTTTATCTCGCCGTGGTCAGACGGTCTCATACACTACGTACTACGTACTCTGTAGAAAAGTACATGGAAATCGTGGTGTTGTCATCATGTAATTCGATTCATAGCTACTACATAAGTTGAAGCTTCGATGTCGACCACATCTTCAACTTCAAATACATACAGCAGTCTCCCAACCTGCGTAAGCAGCATAATCGTCGAGCAAAGTTGTGTTCGACGTTCGTTGATTAAGCTCGTTAACTTCGTTCGACTCAATTTTAGCATTTAGCACTTTTTTTCCACTACAACGGTCTTTCCTCTGAATCTGCAGCCCCTTTTCCCTCGATCCCTCGATTAGCTTTCATTCATGCTACTTCAAGCCGTGAACTTCCTTAGCCAGAAACGCTTGCGCGAATGGGCCGCTCCCAAATTCGATCATGCTTTCGAGGTTCTCTATCAGCTTCTTACAGTGTATGCACAATGCGTATGCCCAGCCGGACCCAATAATTATACCGTAGTAGTACTACTACTACGTAGTACCTTCAGGAGGTGCTCAATACCCCAAGATCTTTGATACTAGTACGTAGTATCTCGAGGACGCTAAGTAAGGCTAATGTATAACCTTATGGATAAAAGGGGCGGGGGAGGGGCCACTTGTGGGGCCAGATAAGCGATCAGTACTACCGGTACTACGTACGTAGTACGTAGTATTTTGTATGGCGGGGCCATCTTTAAGTAGCAGGATCATAGCGAAAGCATGATGTCGAAGATCGCCGAATTGAATGATTGATTAGAAATAAAAGATAAAAATATATTATCATAATCGCTTTTTTGCCTCGATTGCTCTTATATATAAATCCATAAGTCGCTCCTTCTTTAAGTGCTACACACTAAGCCCTTCTTTTTGCATTTTTTTGTTTCCATCAGCTACTGTTTGCGTATCGATTTCTTTAAAAGCATTTTTATTAATCAATTGCGATTCAATTAAATAAAATATTATAAAGTATAGTTAGGATTAGAACCGTCCTGGTCATTATTGCAAAGATCGAAGTACGTAGTACGTAGTACTACGTAATTAAGCTCGTTAGGCTCGTCTTATGTTCCAATTAGAGATTCAGCCTGCGGAGATTCCAATGGTCAAGCTTATATTGCTCTTAAATCTTCTCATTATTGAAGCTATTATTTTCAAGATCACGCTATTACAAATTTTCGAAAGAGATATCAAATAAAAGAAGAGATTTAAACTATTTATCGTCGGCGAGACGCGTCATCGCGTGCTTAAGAGCGTTCATTGGAAAGGGTGGCCATTTTAGGGGCTGCGAAAAGCGAGAATATACGTACGTAGTAAAAGTCAGAATAGCTTTAATAATAGCGGTGGTATTAAGGTTAAGCAGCTGGGCTATACTACTGTAGGCTGCAGTGCAGATGGGATTTGCTAATACTACGTAAATACTAGTATATCTAAAGGCGTCCTCGAGATATCAAAACTCAACCCCAAAACCTTCACAATAGCTACCCCTATCTCTGACCTTCGAGAGTGTGCCTATTCGGCCCGTGATAGGTAAACTCGCCCTATGACTAGCTTTCTTCGGTACCACTACCATACTACGTACTACCGGTATAGTAGTACGTAGTACCACGGTACAGGCCTAAGTATTACCCCTCGAGGGTGCCTTAAAAGTTTAGTTTCCACTTTAAACCCCCTGTTTTCCATACCCTCGAGGGGTAATACTTACGCCTGCGACGTAGTATATCGCTCAATGCTCATGCTCAAAGACCCCTTTATTAATTGGTTTGAAGATAAGCAAAACGCTGGTTTATCAGACCGCAAATACTGGTATCTGCAAATGCTTCTCAGGTCATCTACGTACGTAATAAATGAGTGGCAACGTCCAATGTCCGCCACCTTTCTCATCCATTCCATGGTCCAGGCTCAAAAGCAGCATGGAAGTATCCTTAGTTCTACATCTACGCAGTACAACCTCACAGGCGTTTGTGCCTACATCACTACGGAGCTCTGTACAGGCATAAGAATAACCGCCTGAGCGTTACGTAGTAAGAAGGGCTTTTAGTAGTATGAGGAAAAATAAGGATTTCGAGACCATCGAAATAAACTTCCTAAGATGGGGATAAGAATCTATTGCTGGTACTCAATCAGAGTAGTAGTGATGATCGCGAGGAAGCTTCCGATGAGTGTGGTTGATTGACTCGTACGTAGTACTAGTTGTACCGGTATTATCTAGGACTAGGAATTGGGACGAGGTTGTAGTGGGACTCGTGCCAGGGCTGAGGTCCCCGCACCCTGCTCACACCTTCCACTACAGAGTATACCCAGCAACAGAATCTAATTCGATCGAGACTGTACAGTAATATCTCCGTATAGTAAAGTTTGTCGAAATACTCGAACCTTATTCTCGGTATGAGCGAACTTCAAAAGCTTATTAAAACAACGAGAACCTACTACGTACTACTAGTACCTCAGATGGCAATGTTTATTCAGTAAGGTATCTCTTAGCGACTCTCAAAGTTTACTTGACTAGTACCGGTCAATCAAAAGTCGAAGACTCTATTGAGAGGGGATTCTGGGGCCATGTGGGTCTCCTACAACTACAGTACAACAGTAGTACTACGTACTACGTAGTACGTAGTAAAAGAGTTCATGAGAAGGTTGTTTCGCCTTGACGAATGTGCGGAGTAAGGCAGGTTCCTCCGCATTCATCGACCCCTTTCCAGGTTCTCGCTAAGGTTGTCGCTAAGGTTCTCGCTCAAGGACCGGAGTACCTATAACGTACGTAGTATCTTGCATTCATTTACAGATAAGATCACCAACATCTTGGTTCTCTTCGTTTCGCAACAACAGTTCTTGTTCTCGCGCCTGTCAGACCAGCTTTCTCCTTTCAAGACTGGACCACAGTGAACATCAGAGTTATGTTCGTACTAGGTCTGAAACCAGTGTGCACACCACTACGGAATCTACGATAACAACACTTCCGTTGCCGTTGTCTATCTTGCACGCTATAGCTACAGCTACTCCTCCCGGGTCTTATACATGTAATTGCTAATTTTTTGTTTTTGCATTTTAGAAGTATAGCTTCCTGCTCATCAATTTACGAAAGGTTGAGCAGAGTGTGGCGCCGGAGGGCTTTTGAGAGCCAAGTTACCCTAAGGGTTCCTCATGTCGCTCCAGCAACCTCTCCGAGTTCTCAAGTACAGCCTCTGAAAGAAATTCTTTATCCTGGAGCAGTTCGAATGTCTTTTCTCCGATTTCATTATCCATCAGATCCCCATTTTATCCAATCTTCCCTTGTCCGTATCTGCCTGCAGTGTCATGATCTTTCTTCCTTCTGAAAGAGGATGGACCGACATTAGTCCTGCTTCTTCTTCTCCGTCATTTCCTAACACATCAGAAATTTTTGTCTTCCTGCCTGCTGAAGCATTCCTGATTTTCATGGTTGGTGAATAAAAGTCTGCCGCGTACCAGCTATCTGCAATTTCAAGCTCTTCATTATTGATCGTCACATACGAAGTCTCCGGGAAAAAACATTCTGACGTCTCTTGAATGTGATCGCGCAGTCTCCTGAGTTGAGGAAATGCCTTTCCACATCCTCACTGACACAAGTACTTACACTTGGTGTCATCAGGTTGTGACCGGGCAAGGAATTCGTATCTGGTCTGAAGTTCCGGTAAGGAGCGTGGAGGCTAGTTTTAGATTAGCCGTGCAGAGTTGACTGGTATTTCTAGTCCCTGGCTCGTTCCTCAGACCTGAGGCAGGGATTACCATCAGACATAGAACATAACAGCTTCCTCTTTTCATGTTGCCGGTTGGAATTCCAAGAGCAATGAAATGAATACATGAGAATTTCCATACTACGATAGAATACTCATCGTCCCCTTGCTCTGACATTCTGCTCGCTCGGAGGCTACAGCTAATGGATGCGGCTTCCGCTTCATCGCGGGCACCTTTGAAGTCGTTTGTAGTTTCTGTTACAGTGCCTTCGATTGCCGCCGTGTTCTCTAATCTCTATTTGACGGACATCTGTCTAAATCAGTCGTTCTAACTCATTTCGTTGTTGAAGCTTTGTTATACGTTTGATAACCTCTTCTGGAGAGCCTTCAGCTCTCTCGTATTACCAAGTGCCACAGCTTCCTTCACATTCGTTGTGTTTGGTGATAAACTCGTTGATAACAGCGTCGCGGTATACCCATTGCCTTTGTAAAACCCTTCGTGGTGGATCGCCGGTAGCGAACGTTCGTAACTTCGTAATCACTAGCGTGCAGCGCACGTAGCTTCTTGCAATTGCAAAACAATGGGTAAAAATGGTACTTGATTTGTGTGTACTCCCCAACGTTCAGAGGAGCTGATTCCTTTTATACCATTAGAATGAATCACGTGCACTAGCTATATGATAGGTTTTCTATCGAAGTTAGGGGTTTCCCTGAAGGCGTGCCACGCTAAGCGAGGTACGCTCATCTGTGCCTGAGATACCCGAAACGGCCGTATCACCCCCAACTGCCTCGGGTCGATACTGACATACCGACACTTCAATTTATAGCTACTGAAGACTGGTCGATAAGTACGCGAGTCTGATACAAATCGTCAAGACCTTCTTCATAACGTGACTCATATTCTTTGACGTTGGAGTATGATCGATAGCTTTCTCAGCAGCATCGAGGCCTAGTTGCCTTCTCAATTGGCTACCGAATTTGTATCTCCGCGAACAAAACATAGCTCCTCGCTTGTATCCCACCAAGTGGTTCGAAGCGGTTGCTATTCAGTGAATGAGCGTGCGGCAGCAAGCTTATCTGAAAGGCCAAGTCCTCCAGCTTTTTGCTGCAAGAAATACGGTACTGGCATAGACCAAGCACCTCCTCCAATCAAGATGTCGTGCTCTCGTGCCTGTATCAATAACTCGATGCTGTCGTGTTGTTTGAGTAGGATCTGCAAGCTCAATGTCGTCAGAGATAGTAATAGAACGAAGCTTAAATTTCCGTTCTAAAGTTCCGAAAATCCGTCAACTTTTTAAAATACGATGTTAAAAAATCTAGAAACTTTCCTATCCGCATCTACGTCGATATCTATCTTCTTTTCAATTTCAAGTCGTTGCGAGAGCAAAGCTCAGATACAAGCCAGATACCCATTGCAAACTCTTCAGTCTGATATCTTGTTCTCGATAACCTCCGTCGTGAAGTAGCAATGTATCCATCCATCCGTTCGAGCCAATGACACCCCCAACTCTGCGAAATCATCATCAGCGAGATCTCCACATATCTCGACACCGTCCGCCTCTGTTACATCCGATTCGACAGCCATCGCAGAAGCCTCTTCCTCCTCTCCTCTCTTCTCCTTCTTCTTCATCGCTGCCTACCACGGTCGTGGCCTCCGAAACTCTCTTCCTTTTCCTTCCTTTGATCATGTGTCGCAGGGTATAGGGTTATAATACTAGAAACTGCCATGTGCATTGCAGGTCTGCTCTTGCACAACATCATGTTATACATGTTATTAGGAGGGCTATCGGCTGCATCCTTTTCCACCATTATGTACGTTGCCCATGCCTGACCATAACATCAGCATAGTCTTCACGGAAAAGGCAGTCCACGACCAATCTACAGACCTGCAGGCAGCGGATGCTTTCTACTTCGCAGGCCCTTTATCCAGAGGAGAGGACAGTATGTATTACCCAAGTCCGCTTGTATAATCCGTATCTGAAGAATCTGGCTTTTAGAGCCCAACATCGATAGCGTCCGATCCGTTATCTGTTCCTTACATAACATCGGATACGAACCAGCAACCTTCGACTAAAGTGTGATGATATTTTTATCTTCCTGTTACTCAATACGAATTGGAGAGGGGAACATTGCGGAAATTCGGCCACATTTTTTCTCGCTTTGAATAGCCTTGGGAACTTTTAGGGTGGCAATATAAAGCCGCCGCCCTCCAGCGTCACTTAAACTCGGCCGACCATTCTCCATTCAACGAGTTCTGTACCCCAAAAAAGAAAGGATATGCAGCTCAGCATTCCACGGACTCTAGCTTCCAATACCCTCGCGACTATGATATTATGGCTGGACGATGAATCTTCATCAACGTTCCGCTACACCCTCTATATTCGCACGCATACTTAAAACGATGCATAACGCATACAGATCAAAAGATACAAGTCCATTCATTCCATTACGCTCTTTATCCGAAAAATACCACACCGTTAACAAAACCTCGCTTGGACCCTACAAGCATTTTCGGACGGAGATACCATCATGCCAATATCAAAAAATGTGACCCGCGCCAGGAGTATCGTGAGATTGCGTCCGCCGGGAATCGGACCCGGGGCCCATCGAAACTGACCATGAGTATAGGTACTCACAGTGGCAACGATGGATTTTACCACTAAACCACAGACGCTAATAGCAAGCGTCGGAACTTGACATGATGAAGTGCGTGGTATAGAATTATTTATTCCCATTGGAATTTTGTGGGCTAGATCGCTTAAGGAGGGTTCTCGGTGAGTCGGTGACGAAAGGGTAAAAGGGAAGAAAGCACCAGGCCAGGCTCGCTAGACGATCAAAAGAAGACGGGAAAAAGAATATAGCATCTATCATCTATCTTGGCTACAGACAATCCCCCCTTCCTAATGGATAAATTGCAAGTTGTAAGTCACGGGACTAAAAAGGCGCTTGGCCCGACCGCTTCTTGGTGATTGTTGAGGGTCAGCTTAGTTTTTCTATGGTCTATACACGGATTTACGCGTTTTCCCCAGAGATCCAGCATTCAGGGTTCAAGTAAGTCGCGACTTGCCTACCTTTATATTGGACTGCGTGAAATATTTTCATTATTCAGGTAGGTGATTGATTGGATAGACCTGTATCGTCAAGCACCCATAACAAAAGACACCCATCTCGTGCCTCTGACACATACTCGCGACAACGGTCTTTGTATCGCAATTCTCTCGCTTGATATTAGTGAACATGATCGACTATATCACCCGAAGTGCGTTGCTCCTATGCGACGTCGAACCCTATGCTGGTACAAGTCCAGAGCGGGCGCATAGCGGACTTGGGTGAGGGAAGCCCTACAGCTGTTGGCGCTTCGAACCACTCCTGGCTGAAGCTTCCTCCCACACTGAATGAGAGAGCTGTGCTGACCCTCCATGTTTAGATGCCGAAGATACGCTAACGGCAAGTGCCGAGGTCTAGGAGACGTTCCTCTGGAGCTCATCCTAGGACGAAATTATGCCCTGCAATAGCGACTACGAGGATGGCGAAGGTGATATCGAAATGGACGGCTTCGGCGGCACTGGCTTTAGCGGCGGCACGTCTGAATCGCAGCGAAGCTTGGGCACAGCCGTACTTCTGGCATATCCCAATACGGCTGCGCTTGAAAACGTTGATGACGAAACTAGAGATATGTTCGACGATGACGATGATTCGAAGTCAGATAGCTACATCAGTGGAAATCTCGAGGAATTTCGAGGAATTTGAGGAGCCGAGTGTCAGTACAAAGGTAAGGTATCGAGGGTGCTAGCCTCCATTGGTAATAGTGATTGTGACAGGAGCTCGGAGAGCAGTGTGCCGGACGATGTTTACAGCAGCCATTCTCGCGATCACGATGAAAGCAACGAGGAGATTTGTGATGACGATGGGTCGATGATGCCCGAGAAAGAGTTGGAAGAGTCTGATAGTGTTTCGTCCGAGAGTGCCGAGCCGACTTTCGTGTCATTCAGCGAGCTTCAAGAACAGAAGCACTCGATTTACTTCCTGGGCAAAATATTGCGACTCTCTCGGTTGAGGTGTTCTGGAGTTAAGGGAAACTCAAGGCGCGCGTCGAAGCGGAACTAGAGCTATAGAGGAGTCAACCTGAGAAGGTGGAGGAGGAAGAGGGGGAAGCAGCCACAGCCTTGACAGTTAACTTGAAGTTCAACGATATCTTTCATGATATTTGCGATACCTTTGAACACCTCTGCGAAACCCCTCAATCCCGAGTTCAGGCAGTGAGGTGGATTTTTCGGTTAATTGCGACGAGGACCACAGGAACTCGTGTCTCAAGCGCGATCCACGATTTGCCTTCCTCAGGGAGCATATCGAGACCTCATACACGTAATCACTACAACTTCCGTTACGAAGCACAAACGGAGCCACCCAAATTTGGGAGGAGGTGGAGGAATTCGTTGGTGAGTTCTGGCCAGTGCAAAGCGCTATCCCTCGCGAAGGCAACGGCGCGACTTCGTGGGGAGAGCAATTCGCAAATGGCACTCCGCTTCCATTTACAGCTTCTGTCTGCATCAACCGTCCTATCCTCCTCTCTAACCTTTCCTCTCTAGCCCAACTTGTAGCTCAACTTGTACGGCCTCGCTGCGGGAGCTGAGAGTGCCGGCTTAGAGGCTGTAGTGGAGAAGAAGTGATTAGTCAGCCTCCAAATTGCGAAGCTTACTTCAGACGGCCACTCCGATGGCCAAGGCGGATCGAACCCCCAACCCAGCAGCCACAGACTGAAGAACTCTGTTACTGCTACTAGTACAGTACTAGTTTTTAATTTGTACTGTAGTACCGGTAGTACTTCTAGGTACTATCCCCGCCCTATCCGTATAACATACTCTGTACAGTAAAGGGCACTATCCTAGGGTGGCACGAATAG